ATTGTTCTTTGAAGAATGACTAGGAGAGAGAAAGGCATTTTAAGAAAAGAAGCTTCTTGAGCTAAGGCATATAGGCAGTAAGGAGAATAGGATGCTCCAAGGACAAATAATTGGTGATGTTATAGAATATCTTACTATTCAGAGAAATAATGTTTAATATCACTTGGACATAATGAAATTTGTTTTAAACCTGGCCTAGAGTTGATTGATTACAAGGATATTTTATAAGAAACATATAATAAGAATTATGCCATTATTAGTGAATTTGGGGGGAAGTATCTTATGAATTAATGCATAAACCGCAAAGTTCTCAAATACATAACAGGGGCAAAATGCTCTAAAGTCAGAGTGGCAGGATCAGAAAGGATATTCTTGAAATTAAAATGGCAGGATATGAAATCCTGCTCCTTCTATCCTTATTACAATGAGTTTCCAAGGTCTGCATATTTTCTTATATAATAGATTGCCTTTCCTCCCTACAACATATTCTCTTAATATTGATTCACCTCTTTGTTATATGGAATTCCCCAAATCAGTGTCACAAACTTAAATACCTACAAGTGCTAGGTGGATAATAGGAATAAAACTGTCAAAGTAGGGACTGGTAAATTAAAAGTATCTGACCCATCCAGAGATGGAAATGGTTACTTTTCTCTAGCCAGTCATTGCCCCATAGGAATGTGGGCCAAAGGTTCTTGGAAGCCAGAAATTCTGTTTTTTATTATGGAAACAACCAATTTGATAACTAATTGGGAAAAAAACCCAACCCAGAGTGAGACGGGCTAACAAAACATGTTCATGGGCCGATTCTACCCCTGGGCACCAGTTTGTGACCTGTGTCCTAAAACATTCCTAGTTCTCTTTGATATAATACTTGAAGGAGTGAAGGATTGTTCCACCTCCTTTGACATTACTGATTTCTCAGATATGGACCCAATCCCCACCCTCTCATGAAGCACTGTTTTTGCACCACCCTTTGTGATTTCAGTTTGCTCACCCTTTTAAGCACCCCTTTAAGCATCAAGTTAAGCATCTTGTGATATCATGAATTATACCAACAATCTTCCCCTCCACTCCTGAACGTTGCTTGGTCACACGCTTTGTAACACCACGAATTGCCTTACCACCTTGGAACACAGCTCATTCCTCCTTTGCATATTACTTTGTATCGTCCGTCCCCTTGTGACTCGCACGGCAGTCTCATCCCAGGACTGCAACCTGGAAGGGGGAGTGGGAGGATATAACCTATGTGGCATTACAAAAGGACAAGTTTGTCTGGGAAAGTTCATGATGTCATAAGAAAATGTCTGCATAAAAGAGATTTTAAAAAAAAATCATTAAAGGTAGACAAGGACATTTAAATACTACAATCTAATCTCTTGAGAGTAAAAGGTATAAACTCAGTTTTCAAAGTATTTTAGGTCAACTTTTATCACACTGAAGTTTTATAGAGGATCTCTGAAGAGACTGCTCTCTGTGTGTACAGTCTATTCCTTAGGGGGAGTGAGAAGTTATCTTCTTTTAACTTCATGAAATAAAAATCTAGAGATTAGAAATAAGGTTTATATAACTGCAGTCATTGCATATTTTAAGTATTTTCCTGGAAGAAAATAAAAATTATTAATATAGCACCCATTTATTTGATAATGTTCCTTACTGCAGCATGACTAAACTTTATTCTCATTAAAGTCTTATAATCCATGACATATATACTTCAGGATTCTTCCTACTACTTTGTTTCTAGTTTATTCTCTTTTAAAATTAAAATTGCTGAAGTGGGAGTAGGGTTATTGTTCTTAGGACATTATAAACGTTTTTGGCTAGAAATAATCTAATTTTTAAAATAAGGGACTCTTGCAATTATGGTCATTATAACGTGGACCTAAATGTTATGATTTACAGTTATTAATATTTGTCTTCTATATGTTAGCCACTATAATATCAGCAGGCAGAGGATATAATTTCCATTCTCTTTCTAAATGAAAAAAAATACATTAAAAAAATCAAATCCCTCTCCAAAAAGCTGAGAAAAAAATCTCCAACAACTTGTGAATCTAAGAATTATATAATTATAAGTGATTGTCCTTTCATTCTTATTCATTCAAATTCATTCATTCATTCAACAAAAACATATTGATTGCCCATAATATGCATCAGACACTCTGTTAGGCTCTGAGTTAATGGTGATAAAGAAATCAAATATGGTTTATACTGTCATGGATCTTATGATCTAGTGAGAGACAGACAACAAATAAAGGAAAAAAGTGCATATATATGTATAACTAAATCTATAAGTGAATTTCATATGTATGTACATATGAGGAGGACCAAAAAACCCCCAGAATTTATTTATAAAAAATTGTGTATTTATTCTTACATGTTTAAACTTCAGTCACATTCAAAGCACTCTCCATTTGATGCAGTACACCTATTGAGACGGTTTTTCCGCTGCTCAAAACAGTTTTTGAACCCGTTGATTTTGATGCCTTTTAGTGCTTCTGCTGTTTTTTGTTTCATTTTTTTCACATCAGTGAAGAATTTCCTTTTGAGGACTTTTTTATCCTGGGAAACAAAAAAATGTCACTTGGGTGTAATTGGGTGAATAGGGAGGGTGAGGCATTGGGTTATCCTGGTTTTGGTCAAAAACTGCTGAACACTCAGAGCAGTGTGGGCTCCTAAGTCAACCATAATGAAATGGGCAAATAGGCTGAAAGAGCCTGCAAAAAAATTCACTGAAGCCTAATGCGGCCTCTCACAACAATGCCAGCTGGTACGCTGACACAATGGGTTCCTAGGACCCTCACCTAGCAGTGTGCCCAACAGAAGATAATTCTGGCTTTTTTGGATCGCTCCTTGTACATACACACACACACACACACACACACACACACACACACACTAATTATTAGGGAGAATAATGGAAAGTTGGGGAGAGAAATTACTTTAGATTGAGTGGGTTTTTCTTAGGCAGTGGCACTTCATGTGAGTTCTAATGAATGTGAAGGATCCAGACATGTAAAATGTAAGGGGAAATGGTGGTCTACTGAAGTCAGTACAGCTTGGGCAAAGGCCTTCGCTGAGACTGATTTTTAAGAAGCTGTGCGGAGAAAGGTGGGTTTGTTGTTGTTTTTTTAATTTTATTTTTTTCTCATTGGAGAGAGAGGGGAATGGGAGGAGAGACAGAGAAAGAGAGGGAGAAACATCAAGAGAGAGAAACATCAATCAGTTGCCTCCCGTATCTGCGGGAACAGGGATGGTACCTGCAACCTAGGCATGTGAGCTCTGACCAGGAAGTGAAATTGATGGGGCACTTAAAAGTTGGAAAGTTTCAGGAAATTGATAAGCCTAAGTAGTAAATGCATGTGAAGAAGCTGTTGTTTCAGGAGCTGCGGCTAAGGCCCACCCTGACCCAGGAAATCACAGCGATTGATCTTTGCGCTCCTCAAGACACTATTGTTCCGCCATTGTGCTCCTGGGAGGGACAGACGGCTACCTGGGGTAAAACTAAGTTAGGCAACTAAAGAGGACTAGACTGCTTGGGCACAGTTGGAGATATCCACCACTTTGTGACCGACTGCCCAGGGTGAGAATGCTGCAGTTTTTTAAAATCTAATTTTCCCTGAATTCCAAACCCCTCACCACAATTTCTTCTCTGTTATAAAAAGGCCGGCTTGCAAGGAAATGCAGGACTGTCCATTAGGGTACAAACCGGCCGTTCTCTCAGATCGCGGCCATCTGAATAAAGCACACATAAAGATTCAATCCCTGTCTCTGTTTATTGGGTCTGGTGGGTGACAGGCAGCCGGGAAGCCGGCTTTTCCGGTTTCATATTGGCGAGGTGTACAGGATGACACTCCAGCCAACTGAGCCATGCCAGCCAGGGTGAGCAGGCTGGTATTTTAAAGATTTATTTATAGAGAGAGAAGAAAGGAAGGAGAGAAACATCCACTGGCTGCCGTTTGCACGTGCCCCAACTGGGAACACTGACACAATTCAGGGATGTGCCCTGTTCGGGAGTGGAGCCAGTGACCTTTTGGTTTGCAGGATGATGCTCAACCAACTGAGCCACACCTGTCAGGCCTGAGGAGGGTGGTATTTTAATCCCCATATTAGAGACAAGGAAACTGAGGTACAGAATTGGTTTGCGAACACAGGCATCTGGTTCCAAATCCGTGCAGAGCTACTGCCCTCTGTTACTTCTTGTTGAGAAGCTACCATTGTTAACACATTCAACAGGTTCTGCACTGGTTTTCCTGGAATGTTATCTCATGTAATCTTCACTAACAACTGTGAAATAGATGATACCAGTTCACAAGAGAAAACTAAGGCTCAGAGGGGTGCTATTACTTAGCAGACTTAAGCTTTGAAACCAGCCTCAGGGCTCTGAAAGTTTCTCTAACCCTTGAGCAACGTATATCTTTGAGCCTCAGTTTCCCCATCTTTAAAGTGAGGGTTGTGGAGTAGATTTCTGAGTTCTATGAGGGGGGAGGGTGCAAAGATAAGAGATATGTCCGCAGGTGGGTGCGAAAGAAGTGGAAGGCGTCTCTGCCTTAATTCCAAAAGCTGTCAAGCCACAGTGGTCGAGGGCATAAAGGGGGCGGGTGGGGTGGAGGTTTGGGTGGTTCGCCTAAAAGAGGCCTGTGGGCGAAAATGGGCCTGACAGCCTGTCTCTGATCGGTTTGGGCGCTGTCAGCGCGGGCCAGCTACCAAGGGAGGCCCGCTCCCGGGAACGGCACCCCACCCGCCCAAATCTTGCTCCTGAAAGCCGAAGAAGGAAGAGGCGCGGCTTCCCCGCTGGAGTAGCAGAGCGCCACGTCCCTCTTGGCTCAGCCTCCCCGGGGCCCTTTCGCAGCGCACCAAGCCGCCCGCCTCCAGCTCAGGCTCGTCCTCGCTCTCGCCAATGAGTGCCTTCCGCGATACCAGTCTAACCAATCAGCGGCTTCCTGAGGGCGGGGGATGTCGCCATGGCAGCGAGGAGGCGGGAGCGCATGGTGGGCAAGAGTACCGAGCTGAACAGAGAATTGGGAGCTGGCTAGACAGGTCTGTGTCCTGCAGGCGCTGCAGGCGTTCGGCTGGCGGAACCTCGCGCGTCGAAACCAGGGCTAGGTGAGGCTGGTGACCTCGAGGTGGGTGCAAATCAGTACCGCGGGAGGCTGGGGCGGGTCCTGAGATAAGTCTTAGATCTTCGCCTGTTTTGCCACGGCAGTGAGCAAGGCTGGGGCTGTAATGTGGGAGGGCATGTGCGGGAGGGGGCTTCCAGCTCGATCCCGAGGGGGCGGGGGCGGTCCTTTCCACCGCTCTACTCGCTGCAGAGCACCCAAGCATTCTCTGAGGTCGATGAGGATGACTGGCTCTAGGCGAGGAGCTGGCAGGGGTGAATGCAGAACCGAGAGACCCAGGTGGGGTTACAGCCTGGCTTTGGCAAGTCTATGGGTAAGGGAGGTGCCAACTGTTGAGGAGGGTGTACTCACCAATTCTCGGCTGATGCTTACCTCCCCCCCGCCCTGCCAAACAAGGCTTGGCCCTTGAATCCTATTCTTTGCCCATTCTGTTAAGCTGGCAACCCCTGACACTGAGAAGAGAAAGTTCGTGTCAATTGTGTTATCGTTTTCCCTAAAGTAACAAATCATTGAGCATGACGGTGAGCTCTTTCGATTTCAGGATGAGAAACCTAAAGAGCTCATCTATTTACATCTGGTAACTCAGTGAGCAAATGTGTTTGTTGTGGCTGGTGCTGCCTACTAAACTCAAATTGGATAATGTCCGTTTTACACAATTGAATGAATAAGTGCTGCCTGCCATCTGTGCCTTTTATTAAGGCTCTTAAATCCATGGGTGAATATGAACACCAGATGATAAATACCTTGTTTAAAAAAACGGGAAGGACTACAACATTTGAGATCTTGCTTCCTGGCTGTTGTAGTCAGTTTGGCACAAATAAATTGATACAATTTTAAAAAATGTAGAGGGAGAGCAAGTTTAAATGCCAATATTTCTGATAGGTTTGTTTTAAGGAGATTGTGGATTTAGAATTGATGAAGACTGTTGCTTTAAGGAATTATTAAAGTAACATTACCAACGGAATTACAGATTTAGTTTGGAATGTCTATAGTTTATTTTACAACGTATATAAATTATTTATTTCTTAAGGCTTTCCCTGGTCAATTCGGTTGAATGGAGTCAGGCAATATCCAGATTCCAGCATCTTGCCCTTCAAAGAAATTGTCTCAGGATTCATACTCATTTAAGCCGAGTGTGAGTTTTTGCTTTATAAAATTTGAACAAGTTCAACAAATGTTGAACAAATGTTTTGATAAACATTGCTCAGTTAATAGGGTTGAGAATTAAAAAAAAAAAAACATGGACATTTAGAATTAGAAGTGAAATCTCAAATACCACCACTCTTGTTATTAGGGTGAACATTAAACTTGTATTTCTCATTTTGGTCTTTAAATTCTCCATGATCTGGTCCAGCTTTGTAGTATGAGTGAAAAATTTATTTCTGTCTCCTTGTGGTTACTCATGCTGTTCTCTAGCATCTATCCTAATTTTACTGATCTTGCAAGGGTCGAGTCCATGTTGTGTTTACCTTTGTCTGATTTCCTTGAGATAGTTATTATTCATATCACACATTTTGTTTATATCCATTCCATATGCTTTTTGTCAAGTTTGTGATCTTCAAAGACTAGTTAAAATGTAATGCACAATTAAGGCAATGAGGGTGCCTTTCAAAACACTAGTTATTTATTATGAGCATTAATATAGAATATCCATAACATGATTAACAACAGTGTCTTTTTGCTTTGGGATAATGTATATTTCTGTACTAAACCAATTTTGTATTATTTAGAATAATATTTAAATTGCTCTCAACTTTTTAAGGACACTTTGGATGACTTAGGTATGCAAAATACCCTTGTATTGGGTAGCTGGAGGAAACAAGTGTGGGATTTTAAAATGTGTTTAAAATAATCCTTAACGTAGATAATCTTTTAAGTATTGTGAGTAATTAAGATGACTATATTTAGCATGATAGATTATTAACTTTTTCTAAATAATTGAAGGTCTATAAAGGGGAAATTTGTTATTTTTATGTTTAATACTTGCAACTTGTTTAAGTTTATAGACTTAAAAAAAGCAGGCTCCTAACTATTTTAAATAATTTATTAGAAAAGGAAAAACCTCAGTCACTTTAATATTTTCACTCTAAAATTAAAAAAGAAAAAAACAAACCTTAAAAAAAACTGACCATGGCCCTGGCTGATGTGGCTCAGTGGACTGAGTGCCAGCCTGTGAACCGAAGGGTCACCAGTTTGATTCCCAGTCTAGGGCACATGCCTGGGTTGCAGACCAGGTCCCCTGCAGTGGGGGGTACGCGAGAGGCAACCATGCACTGATGTTTCTCTTCCTCTCGTTCTCCCTCCCTTCTCCTCTCTAAAAATAAATAAATAAAATCTTAAAACAAAACAAAACAACAAACCCCACCATGATACGGTGAAAAGTATACTTAATTAGAATTCGATGGCCAGATTCTAATCCTCGCTCTACCAAATGATCTTGGCCAAATCAGTTAACTTCCCTGTGTTTTATAAACTTTTATAAAAGTAGGGTCTGAACTAAACTACCCCTAAAATTATTTCTGGTCCCAGAATTCTCTGATTTAAAAATTTCAAAGCAATCTAAGGAAAATTGAGAAAGTAGTTGCATGCTTCTATTGTATTTTTGGCAGAGCTTTTTGACTTATTATATTTCAGTTATCTGAAGTATGTGTAAATAATGAAGACCTTGTAATTTTAATAAATTTGTTTATTGAGTGATGCAAATGAGCAACAGTATCTACTTTTCATAAGCCTATTATCAAGGATACTGTAACTGATTGTTAAGTGGGAAAAAAAGGCCATGTACTGGTTTTCTTGATTGATGTCCTTTTCTACAGATATGGCCATCAGAAACACTAACATCTATACTGATGTCTTGTTGCAGGGAAGGTTTGAAGTTCAGCTCAGCTGGTATTTTTGTTTTGAACCTTACATTCCCATTGACTCTCATTTTCAAAGGGAAAAATGGACTTGAGTATCAGGTTACCAGTTGTTCTTGTCACCTCTGCAATTGAGAAACTCAGGAAGCCATTATTTCCCCCCTCTCCCCCTTTTACTGTTAGAATTATGACATTGACAGTAAGAAGAAGCAACCCATGTTTCTTAGCTCAGGGCAATGCCTTGGAGAAAGAAACCTGGGCATCTTGCAAAAGCTCTGTTTTAATGCCAGAATGGAAGAGGCTATGTTCCTCTTTGGTTAGATGTATTCTTTTCATTGGCCTATAGCTGCGTCAGGACTTTGGTTGTGGCAATGCCCAGAGGAGAGCTCTAATGTGGCCCTGAATAAAATGTCATTTATTCATTGACATTGGATGGCCAAGTTGCTCAGTTGGTTGGAGTGTTGTCCCATATACCAAAAGGTTGCGAGTTCCCTTCTGGGTCAGGGCACATACCTAGGTTGTGGGTTCCATCTGTGGTCAGGGCATGTATGGGAGGCAGCCAACTGATGTTTTTCTCTCTCAAATCAATAAAAGATCAATAAAATCATATCCTCAAGTAAAGATTTTTTTTAAAGCTACTAAAAAAACATTTAAAGATTGTATGTCAAACTGGTTTATTGCTTTTTAACTTTGGGTGTTTACAGAACAGATTTTCATTATTTCAATATTATAGCTATTTCATTTTCAAGATAGGAAGGGCATTACTATTTATCGAGCATTTGCTATTGCCATGCACCATGCTACTCACATTGTATTTATTCATATTTTCATCTAATCAAAAATTTATGAAGAGTATTTGTTTAATTTTATAGGCAGGAAAATTGAGACTCAGAAAAGCAAGAAAGGTTCAAGTAAATAAGTGTGGTTAGGATTCAATCTGGTGTTTATTTCTGACCATGCTGTGTTAATAAAAGTCATATGCCTTTCCTACATATAACATGCATACAGTCACTCTCTTACTATTTTTATGTTAAATATACAATAAAAGGAAAGAAGTATATCTGTTCTTAAAATTTGAAGGTATTTTATTTGCTTATTTTCTCACAGCTTGCTTAGGCATATTGGTAATTGATTATGTTCACCAGTGAGTTTGCACATGAGCTAACTGCCTTGTATTTTATGGTTAGGTAGTGGGGTTTCAAAATGTATTTGAGATGCTTTGCTTTATTACTAATCTCTGTGACTGACACTGGGGGCACGGTTAATTTTTTGTATCCTTGCCCAGGAGTTTTTTTTATTGGTTTTAGAGAGAGGAAGGGGGATGGAGAGAGAGAGAGAGAGAGAGGAGAGAGAGAGATATTCATCCATTGGTTGTTTCCTATACATGCCCCAACCTGGAACTGAACCTATAACCTCCTTTAGGTGTATGGGGACAACTCTTCAACCAACTGAGCCACCCAGTCAGGGTGCCAAGGTTAATTTTAAAAGTGGTGGTAAGGATGAGGAAAGATTCTGCTTAAGGATTTAGTGGGCCCTGGCTGGTGCGGCTCAGTGGATCGAGTACCAGATTGCAAACAAAAAGATCGTCGATTCGATTCCTAGCTAGGGCACATTCCTGGGTTGCAGGCCAGATCCCGGGTTGGGGGCATGTGAGAAGCAACTGATCAATGTATTTCTCACACATTGATGTTTCTCTCCCTCTCTTTCTCCCTCCCTTCCCCTCTCTGTAAAAATAAATTAAATCTTAAAAAAAAAAAGGATTTAATGGGAAAACTTACCCTATATCTTGAGGTCTTATTGTTGAACAAAATAAGCTTTTAACTGGAATTCTTATTTATTTAAAAAGGGAGCAACGGTAAAACCTGGGCACAACAATCAATATCTTTGTCCATTCTGGTTTTTGATTCTGTTTATTTAATATATCTCTCTCCCCTCACTACTGGAATATGATATAATTTAGTCTTCTTCCACATCATAAAAACTTGGTACTTTTTTCACAGGATGTGACAAATTTATACACTGTCATGTTCCATTACCACTATAATAGGCCTATATTTATGTTTCTATTTAATGTTTTTTTTTTTTTTTTTACATTTAGAACCCATTAAGAGTCAGTTTTTAGTGAAAAAGCATTGAGCTTGGAGCCAAGACCCAACTCCTTATTAATTTGATATTGTGCAAGTCATCTTACCTCTCTGGATCTCAGTTACCTCATCTGTAAAAAGGAGATAAAAATTCTTACCCTATCTAAAGGTAAGTAATTAGGTAAGAAAGAAAAAAAAAACCTTAATGATAGGTTAAACACACAGTATTTATTTTCTCAGTTGAAATAATTCTTAAAGTAGGCAGCCTTGGATAGGTATGGTAGCTTCATAAAGTCATCAGGAATCTGAGCTTCTTTTTAGTTCTCTGCTCTGCTATCTGTAAGGTGTGGCCCTTGTAGTCCAAGATAGCTGCCAGAGCTCTAACCGTCACAGCCAAGTTCCAAGCAGCAAGGCAAAGACAAAGGAGGTTTTTCTCCCTTTAGGGAGATGTCCTGAACCAAAGCTTAGGTTACCAGGGAAGCAGGAAAATGTAGCTGGAGGCATGGTTGCCCTGAATAAAATTGAGTTTTTGTTATTGAGGAGGAAGGGAAGATTGGGATATTGGCAAATAGAATCCTCTGTCACAGTATGGATCTTTTCCTCTTTTCTCTCTGAGAACTGTAAGCTGTGATAGGCACTCATAGGAGCTTTGGTACTTTTCCATTATAGAGCTTTAAATCTGACCATGTCTACAGTAGAAAATAACTTTCTCCTAATAAATTTTTTTTTTTCCACTTTTATCCCATGGTTCATTATAGAAGTCTTTCTGTCTTGATTGGGTATTTATTGTGGTTATTTTTTTAATTACCCATAAATGCTAATAAAAGTTTGTTGTGCAACTTATGGATGTGTTAAAAAAAGAACTAACTTTTCTTTCTTTTTTTTTTTTTAGCTACTTGCTTTATGCAAGGGACTAAAAAGACAGAGATAATTTACCCTAGGTGTATCACATAATAAATCATCAGGAAGTAAATTTTTAATGACAAGTATAATCCATCTCAAGATAAATATATGTTCACTGTGATCATATGAGATCTTCCTTGCCTTCCTTATAAGTCAGAAGATGTATTTTTTTTTAAACCACTTAATTGTTACTTGTCTTGAAATTTCTTATTACTTAACAACTAGTCCTTGCGTAACTTATGTGGGTATATCAGTATTTTATTTCATTCCTGACTTTTATTTGTAAATATTATCTGAATATACCCTATGCTTGTCATGTAAAATGGTTCAGTTAGCTATTATATATGTGAAGAAAGGAACCTGAAATAAAATTTGAGAAAAGAAAACTGAAATTCAGGGAATGTAAATTGGAGAGGCGAAGAATCTAAAGATTTAGTCAGTCTTTTAGGGATGTTAGAAGGAAGATTAGAAGCAAATTAAGTTTTAATTCTACAAAGTATATATGTGTTTTTGCAAGGTTTTGAATTTTTCCTTGTATCACTTAGGGACAAAGTATAGCAATTCTGTTGTTACTAGTGCTTGGATTTCTTTTTTTCCAATCTAGAACCATTGACCTCAAATAAAAAAAATAATCAGAGCCTTATGAGTTTTTAAGAGATATTTAGCATTATGAATCAGCTGACTGAAATGTCTCTTTGCTGAATACCATTTTAATGCCTTTAAAGATTTTTTAATTAACAGAAAAAGGATCATGCTATATGCATTGTTTTGTAAGCAGCTTTTGTCAAGATGCAATTGTTTTTTTCATAGGCCACCTTGCACACTACACTGAAAGTCCTGTGAAGGTAGGGATTATGTTCTTCTCACTTATCTTCCTATCCTGCCTAATATCTGATACATAGTGGTACGTAATAAATATGTTACATTAGTAAGTACATAACAATAGATGAAAGAAAACAAACCTTAATTTAGCTTTAAATTTAAAAGGAAAAGGAGTAAGAGGAATAAAGGAGGGAGAAAAAGACAGATAAGGGAGGAATATAAAACATTGCAGGGAAGGACAAACTAATGTATTTTGCCATGTATAATGTGCATTTTTTTGTCCAAATTTTTGAGGGAAAAATAAGGATGCACATTATACATGGGTAGTACCTGAAATACCTTGTATCTCTTCTTGTGTTTTGTAATTATTTGTTACATAAAATTTCTTGTACCATAGTATGTTCAAAATTAAATGCTAAAATTCCTTTATAATATAAAAACAAGTATTTGAATATAAGTAAATAAATACATTGAATTAAAAAATTAAAACAAAAGATTTTTTTCTTGAAAGTTTGGGCCAAATGTGTGGGTGTGCATTTTACATGGGAGACCATTATACATGGCAAAATATGGTAGTTTCAGTTTTCTGTACCCTTCATTTTCTCACCCATGACCATTCTTTTTTAAAGATTTTATTTATTTATTTTTAGAGAGAGTGGAAGGGAGGGAGAAAGAGGGAGAGAAACATAGATTTGTTGCCTCTCATACACCCCCAACTGGGGACCTGGCCTGCTTGCTACCCAGGAATGTGCCCTGACCCTAAATTGAACCTGTGACCTTGAGGTTTTCATTTCAGGCTGGTGCTCAATCCATTGAGCCTCATCAGCCCCGGTGACCTTTCTTTTTAACAACTTCCAGGATATCTCTCTCTACAGTCTAAACAGGAAACTGATATACACCCCCACCCATGTACCTACTCACCAAGTAAAGTTAATCTGGGTAACTAATGCTATGAATCAGTAGTTAAGAAATCTGCCTCTGTGTATAAGTGAGGGTTTTGATTTGGTGGAGACAGGGGAAGAGAGATAACTTTCCTTTGGGACTTGGAAATTATTTTGTGTCTATGGAATACTAGGAGAGGCTAAGAACTCTGCTTACTTTGTAATTTTGCCCAAAGCTCCGAGGCCCTTGGGATCAGTGATTTCCATGTAGTCTTGAGATCACTGCCTGATTCAGAATTTCAGATGATCCTACTTTGGATCAGAATACTGTTTTAGCCAAGTTCAGCCCAGTGTCTCCTCTTTAGGTTTTGTTCTTATGGAAGAAGAGGGTGGTGAAAGAAGGCCATTCCTATTGATCCCATAATAGAAGAAAAGTAAGCTAGTCCACCTTTGTATTATCCCCCATATCTCCTTTTGTATGGACACTTATTTTTATATTCTTAGATTTATGAAAATCTGTAAACCTTTCTTTGACATGTTTGACATTATCTTGGTATTTAAAGACATTTTTATATCATTACTTTTCTACCTAATGTGCTGGAACATTTTCCATTTCTTTTATAATGGTTAACATTTATTGAGGCCTTATTAAGGAGTAGAGTAAATTTAAGTCTGAATTTAAGTTTTACTTAATTCTAGACTCGGTAAATTAATTGTCCTAATTATTTCTAGAACAAACGATAAAAGATTAGAAACAAGTAGAGGGGGAAACATGTTTTAAAAATTCTCCATCAATCAAAAAACAAAACAAAAAAAGACAAGAAAGGAGAGGAAGTAAATATAAAAAAGGCAGCAGGGCTCTGGCTGTTGTGGCTCAGTGGATTGAGCACTGGCCTGTGAACCAAAAGGTCGCTGGTTCAATCTCCAGTCAGGGTATTCCTGGATTCTGCTTGCAGGCCAGGCCCCTAGTAGGGGGTGCACAAGAGCAAACACACATTGATGTTTCTCTCCCTCTCTCTCTCCCTTCCCCTCTCTCTAAAAATAAATAAATAAAATCTTAAAAAAACAAACAAACAGCAGGATAAATAGACCAAAGGAATATGGTACATTTAAAACTCAATATAAGGTATTACATGGATTCTAAGACTTTATTGTTATTAAAAGACATCATTATACACCATCCAGAAAAAATACTGCCAATCAAACTATGACACTATACCTTATCATTTACAATTTAATGTTTAGTGAAAGTACTTTTTGAGGTTCATTTAGACATACAGATTTTTCTCACAGATTTATGAATTATAAATAAATTCATTAATGTGTTTCTAAGGTATTGATCACATTCACAGTTTCATTCTTTTGAAACTCTTGATTCAGACTTGTCAATGTGTTTTTTGAAAGGAAGGAGAAATTGTTACTTATTTATTTTTAGGGAGAGGGGAAGAGAGAGGGGAAGGGAGAGAGGAAGGAAGAAAAACATTGGTCAGTTGCCTCTTCCATGCTCCCAACTGGGACCAAACCCACAACCCAGTCATGTGCTCTAACAGGGAATCAACCGTTGACCCCTCCCTTTGTGGGATGACACTCAACCAACTGAAACATACCAGTCAGGGCAACATCTGTTTTTTTTCACTCAGAGTAGTTCTCTCTACTATTGGAGAGTGACGGTAATTTTCTTCTGGAATTTCTTCAAGCCCTTTTGCCTGGCATTTTCTTTCAAGCCTCTGACACTCATTTTGCAAGCTCTGTGCCCGTGCTTTCTTGAAGAGGATACTCATTTTGCTGGTTTTGATGCTAGTGCTTTTCAAAACATGACCACAGACTGTTTTCACCATCTTCTTCCTTCCTTAATTTCTCCTTCTATGGTTTGTTGGCTGAAATGCTGAGGGGTTGCAATTGTCTAGAAGAATAACATCAAGTTGTGTTACTTTTCAGGCCACTTATTTAAATTTTGAGATCCACAGCCTGAGCGGGCATCTAGACCTGAACTCTACGCCTGGCAGGTTGGGAAGGGCTCTTGGGCCCTCCAACCAGATTTAGTCAGCCTACCCTTAGCTCAGCGATCATCCGTCCCCTCTCACCCCTTCCCACTTTTTATGCAAACAATAACATTTTTGGGAAATAATTTTGTAGTTTAAAATTTAACATGGCAGCAATTTTTGGCCATAGAAATTTATGATAGTGTTATACAATGATATGCTATTTCCTAGCCCATTCTCAGGATATCCATCACTAGCACCTTTAGCATTAGTGAGTCTATCATTCTGAGCCAGGTAGAAGGATGTCAGGATTTTGCCAGCATTTCCTACTGACTAAACTCAGCTTTGTTTTTTTCGTAGATTACATGGAAATTATGCAGCTTCTATGCATTATTAGTAGGAAGTTTCTGACAAATTGACATTTGCCTTAACAATGCGTGAATTCATGAAATTAGATTCATATTCCACATACATTTTTAAATTAATTGCAAGCATTGTCAGTTTCTCCTGCTTTCATTAGCACTGTCTGGTTGCTCATAGGTAGCTTGTTGTATCTCAGTAACAAAATGTAATACAGCTTTGTCTACTTGTAGATATCTTCCTGTCTAAAGTCAGGTAAAACAGTTGTTTCTTTCAAGAAAATGTAAAGCTACTGTTATTCCTTTAACAATTCCTGTTTACAAAGTAACTGCATTCCAATGCCAAATCATAATTTAATTCTTTGAAGACATTTAAAATGGTATTTAAATGCAATTTGTGAAGTACTAACAATGCAAAAACTCAATTTGAAGTTATTTCAGTAACAATAGCTGTGATAAAGTTCATACGTTTGTAGGCAGTAAAGGTTATGTTGCTATTGCCACTTTTTTAATACCACAATTTTAATATTCATCAACTGAAAAACACTCTGATTTTTGAGGTGTTAAACTGAGGAATTTCACATCTTGGAATTAATTACATTATCGGTAATTTGATTTAATATAAACAGAAAATACTCCAATTAGAAGACAGATTGTTAGGCTGAATAAAAAACAAGTGTGTGTGTGTTTATATCCATATACTCATCAAAAGAAATCTGGTTAGCTTCTATCAAATAAGATAGACCTTACCTTAACGCAAATTGGGGCATAGGGTCACTTAGATGGGATAAAAGATCAAATCCACCAGAAAGCTAGAAAGTCTTAAATTTGTGTACGACTTAATAACATGATCTCAAAATATTTAAAGGATTTGAAGGAAACATAGATAAATAAAAAATCAGCCCAGGCTGGGGTGGCTCTGTGGGTTGAGTGTTGGTCTGTGAACCGAAAGGTCATCAGTTCAATTCCCAGTCAGGGCACATGCCTGGGTTGGGGGCCAGGTCCCCAGCTGGGGGCGTGTGAGAAGCAACTGATGGATGTATCTCTCACACATTGATGTTTCTCTCCCTCTCTTTCTCCCTCCGTTCCTCTCTCTCTAAGAGTAAATATATATTTTACAAAATAATAAAAGTTTATTATATTTTATTTGTATTTCTTTATCCCAGCACCCTAATCTTCTACTTGCTCTACCAAAGTAATTTTAAGCTGGCTAAATAAGCAATATTTAGTTTCAAGGCATTTATAAATCATAATAATCATTTCGTACAGTTGGTGTGAGCACAATTTTATTAGTATTTCTGATAACGCAACAGAAAAAAAATCTATACTTTATTCTAAAGAATAAACTGAACATAGAATTAAGAGCTTAAAGAATACTGAGGTCTAGGTAAATTCCCTTTAAAAAAAAATCCGTCATTTTGTAAAAATGAGAAAACAAGTGGGAAAAGTTAATTGACTGATATATAGTACATAGCAAGTGAATAGTGCGGCTGAAATTAGAATATAGACCTCAATTTAATTTTGCCTCGCTTTCCTTAGGTATGACACTTTTTTCCTTTCCTTGAGGACTTCAATTTACTCTTCAGATGAGCATTCTTTTTGTCTCTCATTGTGTAGGGGACATTCATGAATAATAGAGCAAAGGGAGACATGTTTTCAAATGTTGGCATGCGTCAGCATCACCAATAGCACTTGGTAGTACAGACTGTGCCTCCATTCACTGCCCCCCGCACCCCACCCCAAAGATTCTCTGATTTAGAAGGTCTGGAGTAAGCTTGGAGAAATAGTGTTCCTACCAGATTTCCAGGTGATGCCGAGGCTGCTGGCCCAGGGACCACACTTGGAGAACCGCGACTTAAACACAGACACCGCTTTGGAGTCAGTCATTCCCAGGACCACACTCTGGCTTTATGACCCAAATAAAGTTTTTTAACCGATATACCTCAGTTTTCTGTGCTTTAAATTGGGGATAATAATATGTATTTCATAGAATTAAAAACTAAATTTGTTAACATATAAAAACAGGCTTAGCCTTATGCTTAGTTCATAGTAAATGCTCAATAGATCATTTCTGTTGTTATTATGATAAATGTGGGGCCCAATTAAAAGTTTATGAGCCATAAATTTAGTCAGTGTTTTAGAGTAGATGTACAGAGACTTTTTGTAACTTTGTCACTTTGAGATGCTATCAGGACTCTCTCTCTCTCTCTCTCTCTCTCTCTCTCTCTCTCTCACACACACACACACACACACACACACACACTCATATTCCTGTCTTGGCTTGCCTTCTTATTTATGGCAGACATGGCGGAAGAGTGAGAGAGTGAAGTGACAAATTAGTAAAGCAATTCCACTTCCAAAATTGGGTTTAACTATACTAGTTTACTTTTTATTGATCTCAGGCTTCTATTGTGTATTGAAGTAAAGGTGGACCCTATAAGAAAGCATATTTTAAAATATGTGACATAGCTGCCAGTTGCTGAGACAGAGCTGCCTATTAAGTGCCCTGTGTATGTGCGTGGTATGGTGGGAGGAGAGCTTAAAGGACATTGGAGATAATGTGAGGTAGAGGGGAGGACTCTATGTGAAAGGTTCTTTTAAACTCTGGGCGGCCCATATCAAGGGATAGTCACAGTTTCTGATGAGGTCTGCTATGAAGTTATAGAGGTACATCACTGAGTTCACCTTCTGTGTGCACATCCTAGAAAGACCATTCAAATAATTTTAACACTCATTTTCTAACCACATGTGTACCGCAGTAGGAGCCTAGAAGGAAACACAATCTAGAGAAGTGGGTGTAGAAGACATCAAAATTGATTTGAATAGTTAAGTCATAACTTGGGCTTTTCAGCCATGGCTACTCATAAAGTTATCCATTATGGGCATGAAGCATGAATGAATAATAAACTTATGTTGTCATAAAAAATAACTGAGGAAGAGGAGGTGATTCATGATGGGAAGACATTCTGCGCATAAACAAATAATCCTTTAGAGATTCATCATGCATAGTAGCCCACCACAAGTTCAGAAAGTCTTGCAAAAAAAAACCTACTTAGTGTCATTGAGCCAACATCTCTCATAAACATATTTCATCATGAAAAACATTTAATAACGATCATGTTGAGGAACCAGTGTCCTAGAGAAGAGTGAACCTTGGGCTTGAGCATATATAGATGGGACTCACCTGGAAAGTTTATTAAAACATGTTCCTGGGCTCCACCCCAGAGATTTCTGATTCAAGGGGTCTTGGGTACAGCCTGAGACTTTGCATTTTGGGGATAAGCTGTCAGGTGATTTGATTTTTCAGGTTTGAGAACTAAACTCTGAGAACTATCTTTACAGAATAGGCAAATCCTCTGCCTTCAATGAGTGAATTTTATGCAAGTTGTATCTCAAAAAAGGTGTTAAAATTTGAATAGACTAGAAATAGCACTAAAATGTGAGTTCTAGTGATTTTGTTAATGCATGAAAATGCTCTGTGAGTGAACTATTTTAATTAAAAATTTCTTCATGTGTAAGATGAATCACTGGCCCATATACTACCTAGGGTTGTGTTAAAAATGAGGCAATGTACATTCTTCCAAATTGTGTTCTGTGGATAAAAAGATATTACTTAAAAAAAAAAAGTCCATGGCCAGGTAAGTCAGACAGACGCTGAGTTAAATAATGTATTTTTCAGGTTGATGGTCAGACCATTATTTTTTTTAAAAAATATTTTGTTTATTTAATTTTAGAGAGAGGGGAGAGAAGGAGAGAGGGAAAGAAACATCTGTGTGTGGTTGCCTCTCATGTGCCCCCTACTGGTGACCTGACCTGCAACCCAGGCAGGTGCCCTGACTGGGAACCTGCAACCGTTTGATTTGGAGGCCAGCGCTCAATCCACTGAGCCACACCAGCCAGGGCTCAGGCCGTTATTCTTGATGTGAACACTAACTCAGATCTATATGTATAAAATCGATTAAAAAGAGGTTTTTATTCATTTTAATTCTTGTAGTAGATCCTCTGGTGCTACTAAGATTCTTGTGGAGTAGAAACTGAATAAGCAAAGTTGAATCATACTGTGGTTGGGACCAGCAGTAGTTGCTCCTTGTTTGTTTCAACCCTGTTACATCCTGCTTGATATTTATTGACTTCTTTGAAAAATCATTGACCATAAAAATTTTAGCAAATACCTGTTGGCTATGATAATGTTTAATAAGGTTAAGAGAATATTTGTAGCTAGTTTTTTCTCTCTTTTAATCAACTTCTATCCATTGAGTGCCGTATTTTCCAAATTAAGTTGAAGCGAATTATATCTAAAAATAATTTTGGTTCTCTAATATTTTAACTGAGAAAAAAATACGTAGTTTTTTTCTTATTCTCCCTTTCTTAAACCTGGGCCATTTATTTTTAAAAAGTTTGAGTCCCTCATTGCTATCCTTATTTGAAGCTTTTATAATAAACCAAATGTTTTCTTATACTGTACAAACTTTTAAAATTTTATTTCCTTGTCTTTTTAATTTTAGTTAAACAGGATTTCCACCCAGTTTTCCTTTTTTAAAATATATGTAATATTTATTATATATTTTTCCACTACCATTTAGTCCCCTTATACCCCCTTCCCCCAGCAATCTCCGCCCTCCCCTGATTTTCTTTAGTGGTATATTTTAAGCATTGTTTTTATGTTATGGTCTACCTTAACCATTTTCTTAGAATTCTTTTGTTGTATTAAACTTCCTGAAATGTAATATTTTATTAATGTGGCTTTGGGAATGCATGTGTATATAGTTTGAAAAAATCTCTTCAGGACTTTACTATAATTCTACCTCTATTTCAGATGAGGCGGAGGACTGTCCTACCGCGGTGTTGTTTTCTCCTGGTTACATGTCTACTTGCTAATCTTGAAGCTGTGCCTATAGACATAGACAAGACAAAAGTAAAAAATCCTCACCCTGTGGACAGCGCAAAGATAGAACCACCAGTAAGTCAAATAGGAAGAATTTTAACTAAAATATTGCTAATATTTATTATTATAAAATTGAACATTTCCAAACTATTCCTGAAATAGCAGTGAAAATAGTATAGGATAAGCATATGTTGCTTAATATTAGACAGTATTTATTTAATGTAGTTAGTGTATTAGAGAGTATATAGAAGAATTAATCACACTACATTTCTAGGGTAGAGCTAACCAGCCAAAAAACAAAACAAAACAAAACCAAAACAAAACATTGTATTATATTCAAAGGGGAGAGAGAGAGCAATGAGGAGAACAGGAAACACTGGGGTAAAACCAATTAATATTTTTAAAGTCTTCTTCGTCTAAGCCATATAGAAAATCTATCTACTTTTATGTAACAGTAAAACATGACTTTGGTGTGAGCCCTAAAACATGATTTTTACAATACATCTCTTCATTTGAGCTTTTAACTTTGACAGTCTACACTATCAAAGTAGATATTGTCTCAACACCATTTTGCTGGACATTTTATTTTTTTAAGAGTTGAGATCTTTAGATGCAGGGAAGGAAAAACTATCAGAAGCTTTACTGTTTGTTTCTTAATTTGAAGGATACTGGACTTTATTACGATGAATACCTCAAGCAAGTGATTGATGTGCTGGAAACAGATAATCATTTCAGAGAAAAGCTCCAGAAAGCAGACATAGAGGAAATAAAGGTAAATGTAATTAAATAATTACTTAAAAAACATTTGAGCTTGCCAGACATTGATCTCTCTAGGGAGATTAACATCCAGAAGAAGATTTTAAGGTGAATATACAATGAGTCTATAATATATTTTGGATATACAGAGGGTGGACTTCTAATTCAGTAAGTGGGGGAAGGTGGGAAGTCATTCTTTTTGGTAGAGATTATGTCACTGCTTGACAATGTGACTGAGAGAAGGAAAGAGACTGGGAGGCATCCGAGGCTGTAGTGCAAGGGTGCTGAGATGAGAGATATACAGGGAACTGGACTTCGTAACTGTTGCTGGAACCTAGACTGGGGAGTGGAGGGCATGACTGGCTGAAAGGTGAGGTTGGAAAGAGTCATGGTGATGGAGGGCCTTGGACATCATGTTCGGGGACTGGGATCATAATGTGAGGACAGAAGGAAGCTATGCAAAGATTTAGAATAGGTTAAGTTCCAGTGTTTTAGCCAGGTCCAGATTAACAGAAGAGCTAAGAGGCCATATATTATGTCAATAGGAGAGATTTAACTTTGCCTCTGCCCTAAGAACCCTATTACACATATTTTTAGCCCTAGACATCTTAGTACATGATAAAGAAAGGAATTTGTAAAAGATCTGGCCAGAGGGATCTTTTAAAGTTCATCTTTGAAGGGCAATGAATCAGTTTAGCTGGGTTTATCTTAGAGTCAGCAGTAAAAAATTTTCAATGATTTAATTTTAAACTTTTAGTTATACCTCTCAAGATAATATTATTTGCTTATACTGTTTTTGTTTATGTTTTAAATTTCCTAAAAAAAAAAAATTCTCACCCATTTCTAGAATCAGAATTACAGACCTTTGTTAGAAAGAACCTTTCTGGGTCAAGCGTCCTTCTTATTTTAGTCTCTGTCCCTGGTGTGGGCCTTTTTGAAATACTGACCACATCGGGTTGTGGCAGCTCTCAGCTCTCTGAGCCTGTGTGTGGCTTTTAGTTCACAGCTTCCCTCTGGGAGGCAATGAACTGTTCTGGGCCAGTAATTCCCCTGAATTGTCTTTCCTCTGAAGAATTAATTTAATCTTTGGAACTAATTTCCTGGGATGAATGATATTTAATGCAGAACTTTTAATGTCTCTTATCTACTTAAATTAGTATTAAGAGCATTATTTGGGGGTCACAGAAGTGGGGATAATGGGAGGTGCTGTACAGCGTAGGCAAAAGTAGGTTTGCAGTTGTTCGTATGGTGAATAATACAATAATAAATGATAATACAATATTTAATAAATAATATAAGAATATACTCTGTGTTTTGCATACTCACAACTATAAAGCTACTTTTGCCCACCCTGAATAGAGATAATTAGGGAAAAGAAGACAACAGCTTCCTGGTTTGGTACTGAGAATACCTTTATAACTGTCTTCCTTCGCAGCCAATTCCTATTCCTTATTGGGGGTGTAGAGAGTCAAACTGAAGTAAGTTACACAGTTATTCAATGAAAAAGAGTAAAAATAGACAATAAAGACCAGTTTTCAAAATAGCTTAGTGAAGACTCTTTTCTCAGGTAGAACTGGAAAAAAAATGTTAGAATTTGTCCTGTCCTTTTCAGCCAAGCATTGTTTTTTTTTTTTTAGAAAAGCCAGCCTTAAGCACTTTTATTGCAATAATAAAACTTGAAACTCACATGTAGCGCGGGAGAGGAAGGCGAGGGTAGGCAGCAATAATTTCTCTCACCAGATCACTACACAGGACAGCAAAGGAGTGAGGGGGGTGGGGAAAAAGCCAGGAAACTTTGAGATCAGCAGGGGGAGGTAAGCATCACAAAACAGGAGAGGCTGAAGCTGTGATGACCAGCATCATTTTCTTAAGACAACACTCAAAGATTTGTCATGATGGCTGGGCTTTCATTGGGTTTTAAGTGTCTGCAAAGAGCACCTTCAATTTAAACTTTCAGCTAAAGTTCTATAATTTGGGAAGTGGAGCCCAGATAGCTATGACATTATAAAAGTTCTGAATATGTATTAGAAAAAACCCACAGGTTTGGGGGGGCGGGGTGGGAAAGCCAGGCCATGAAGAAGGCTTCAGAGGTCCCTGCTGGCCTGGGGACAGATACCTGTAGTGTCCAATGTTGCAGTGAAAATGATTTGCTTTTAAAAGGCAGAAAGTTTAAGGGGAAAGTGCTATGGAGCAGTGGAGGCAAGGGCTTCCCCCTCCCCGCTTCAGTTTTGGGTAGACCTCTTAATTCTTCCCAAAGACATCTCTCAACTTGGAAACAATTCGGCCCTCAACGGCGCCTCAAATCTGCTGTGGCTTTGCAGCGCAGCAGCAAGAATGTTTAATATATAATAGATAAAAATTTCATCCAAAAAATAAAATATTCTTGCATCTCTCCCTCGCAATTCCTAGTCCGAAGTTAACCCATTACTTGTGCTGTTAATACTTGACTAATACTCAGTTGGAAACCTTGATCCAAAAGACTGAAACTGAATCTTCACCCCAAAATGAAAACAAAGTAACGAGTAACTTGAGATTCATGGCATGTAGTTTAGGTCAACACACATACAGGGAGAAAGGGGAAGAGCGAAGCTGGGTGACAGAACACATTCACCTGGGGCAGATGTTTATACAGAGTGTAGTGGAACATTAGGAAAAGCTCTGTCCGGATTCGTGTGTGCGCGTGGGGGGCGTCAGATCCCTTCATGGCACATCCAAGAACAGGGAGCTCAGGGAGTAGGTCATTCCTGTCATTCCAGTTTTAGAAGCTCCATGTCAAAGACCAGAGTGGCATTTGGTGGGATGATGCCCGGATGTCCAGTGGCACCATAGGCATAGTCTGGGGAGATAGTCAGTTTGGCTTTCTGACCCACACTCACCTGGGCAACCCCTTCTTCCTAGCCTCGGATCACCTCCTGCTTGCCTAGCATAAACTTAAATGGCTTGTTCCTTTCTGGGAGGAATCAAATTTCTTTCCCTCTTCAAGCATCCCCTTGCAGTGCACCACGCGGGTCTGGCTGCGCTTCAGGAAGGCGCGCCTGTCTCCTGGGGAGATGGTCGCCACCTGCACTCCCTTTGGTTCGCAGGCCGGCACTCACCCGCTGAGCCACACCAGCCAGGGCTCTTTTAATTTTCTGAGTGTAGGTCTTTTTCATCCTTGACTAAATATATTCCTACGTATTTTTTTTAATGCAATCATAAACCGGATTGTTTTCATAGTTTCTCTTTCTAACAGTTCGTTATTGGTGTATAAAAATGCACCAATTTCTGAATATTTATATTGTATGCTATTTACAGAATCATTAATCAGTTCTCATACTTTTGTGGTGGAATCTTTAGGGTTCTCTATATATTGTCTATACAATATAATGTCATCTGCAAATAATGACAGTTTTACCTCTTTCTTTCCAATTTGGATACCTTTTATTTCTTCTTCTTGTCTGATTTCTGTGGCTAGGGCTTCCAGTACTATGTTGAATAAGAGAGGTGAAAGTGGACATCCTTATCTTGTTCTTGATCTTAAGGGAAATGCTTTTTATTTTTCCCCTGTTGAGTATAATGTTTGCTGTATGTGTTTCATACATGGGTTTTTTATGTTGAGGTATGTCCCCATCTTCTCACTTTGCTGATAGTTGTTATCATAAATGGGTGCTGGATTTTCTCAAATGCTTTTTTTCTGCTTCTGTTGATATAATAATACAGTTTTTAGTCTTCATTTTGTCTATGTGGTGTGTCACATTAATTGATTTGTGGGTATTGAATCATACTTGCATCCTGCTTCGTCATGGTGTATGGTCTTTTTAGTATCCTGCTGAATTTGATTTGCTAATATTTTGTTGAGCATCTATGTCCATTAGTGATAGTGATATAATTTTCTCTCTTTGTAGTGTTTTTATCTGGTTTTGGAATCAGGATGATGCTAAAATGAGCTTGAGAGTCTTCGCTCCTCTGGATATTTTTGGAGTAGTTTGAGAAAGATAAGTGTTAGTTTTTCTTTTAATGTTTGGTAAAATTCACCTGTGAAGTAATTTAGTCCAGGAATTTTGTTTGTTGGGATTTTTTTTTATTACTGCATTGATTTTGTTGGTTGTAGTTGGTCTGCGTTTAGATTTTCTGTGTCTTCTTGATTCCGTCTCGGAAGATTGTGTGTTTCTAGGAATTGATTCATTTTCTTCAGATTGTCCGATTTCTTTTGGCATATAATTGTTTTTAGTATTTTCTTATAATTCTTTGTATTTCTGTGGTGTCAGTTTGTTACTTCTCCTCCATCTCTTATTTATTTGTGTCCTGTCTCTCTTTTTCTTCATGAGTCTGGTTAAAGGCTCATTGATCCTGATTATGTTTTTGAAAAGCCAGCTCTTGGTTTCATTGATCTTTTGTATTATTTTTTTTTAGATTCTACTTTATTTTCATGCAGATCTTAATTATTTCCATCCTTCTGCTCACTTTGGGCTTTGTTCTTTTTTTAGTTCCTTTAGTTGTAAGATTAGATTGTTTATTTGAGATTTGTTTGGTTTCTGGCGGTGGGCCTGTGCTGCTGTGAGTTTCCCTCTTAGGACTGCTGTTGCTGTGACCCAGAGATTCTGGGTTGTTGTGTTTTTATTTTCATTTGTATCAAGTTGTCTTTTGATTTCTTCCTTGATCTCATTATTAACCCATTTACTATGTAGTAACATGTTAGTCTCTCTGTGTTTCTGTGTTTTTCAGTTTTTTTCCTTAGTATTGATTTCTACTTTCATACCATTGTGGTTAGGGAAGATGCTTGAAATAATTTAAATCTTGTTAAATTTATTGAGGCTTGTTTTATGCACTGACGTGTAGTTTATCCTTGAAAATGTTCCGTGTGCACTTGAAAAGAATGTATATTTTCCAGTTTTGGAATGAAATACTCTGAAAATATCAATTAAATTCATCTGGTCTAGTGTCATTTAAGGCTGCTGTTTCCTTGTTAATTTTCTGTCTGGAAGATCTATCCATTGATGCCAATGTGGTGTTAAAGTCCCCAAGTATAAATGTATTGCTATTGATCTCTCCCTTTATGTTTATCAATATTTGCTTTATATATTTAGGTTATCCTATGTTGGGCGTATAAATGTTTTACAAGGGCATTTCTTCTTTTTGAATTGCTCCCTTTATAATTATGTAATGACCTTATTTGTCACTTGTTTCTCTTGTTATAGCCTTTCTTTTAAAGTCTATTTTGTCTGATATAAGTATTGTTATCCCAGTTTTTGCTTCATTTCCACTTGCATGAAATATCTTTTTTTTAAAAAAAGAAAATTTTTTATATCCATTAGTTTTTAGTGTCTGTGTGTCTTGTTCTGAGTCTCTTATAGAGAGTATATATATGGGTCTTGTTTTCTTATCCATTCAGCTACCCTATGTCTTCTTAAAAATATTTTTATTTATTTATTTTTTAGAGAGACAGGAGGGGGTGGGAGAAAGAGAGAGAGAGAAACATCAGTCTGTGGTTGCTTCTTGTGTGCCTGCTACTGAGGACCTGGCCCGCAGCCCAGACATGTGCCCTGACTGGGAATTGAACCAGCGACTCTTTGGTTCCCAGTTTCATAGGCCAGCACTCAATCCACTGAGCCACGCCAGCTGGGGCACTACCCTGTGTCTTTTGATTGGAACATTTCATCTACTTACAGTTAAAGTGATTATTGATAGATACATATTTATTACCATTTTGTTTTTCATAATTATGTTCCTCTTTTCTTTCTCGTTATAGAAAACCCTTTAACAGTTCTTGTAATACTGGTTTGTTGGTGATGAACTCCTTTGGCTTTTTCTTATCTAGGAAGCTCTTTATTTCTCTTTCAATTTTAAATGATAGCCTTGCTGGATAGGGTAGTCTCGGTTGTAGGTCCTTGCTTATCATCACTTTGAATATTTTGTGCCAGTCTCTTCTGGTCTGAAATGTTTCTATTGAGAAATTAGCTGACAGTCATTATGGAAGCTCCCTTGTAAGTCACTCACTGTCTTTCTCTTGCTGCTATTAAGATTCTCTCTCTCTCCTTAACCTTTGTCATATTACTTATATGAGTTGGTGTGGACCTCTTATTTGGGCTTGTTTGGGGTTCACTCTGTGGGCTTCCTGGACTTGTGTGTCTTTTTCCTTCACCAGGTAAGGGAAGTTTTCAGTTATTACTTCTTCAAATGTTATCTCAATCCCTTTTCCTTTTTCTTCTTCTTCCGGCATCCTTATAATGTGGATATTGTTATGCTTGATGTTGCCCCTGATGTCCCTTAAACTATCCTCATTTTTGAAATTCCTTTTTTCTGGGGATTTCTCTTCCTTTATTTGGAGCATGTTTCTTTGTCTCCACATTTTGGCAGCCTCTCTGTATTTGTTTCTGTGTGTTAGGTTGATTTGCTGTTTCCCAGTCTTGGTAGGGTGGCCTTAAATAGAAGGTGTCCTGTGGGCTCAGTAGTGCAGTCTCGCTTGACCACCTGAGCTAGGTGCTCCAGGAATGTCCCTTATGTTAGTTATGTGAGCCCTGCTGTTGCAGTTGAGTACTGATCGCTCGTGGCCCATCTTTGTGTGGGATCGACCCTCAGGCTGGCTGACTATGAGGACTGACTCCAGCCACAGTGCGTGAGCTGCTGTGTGGGGGCTGATCCCATGAAGCAGGATTTGCCCCGGCATGATGGGGTGACTGTTAAGATCTCACTTTGGGTAGAGCTGCTTGTGGAGCTAATTGGGTTATATTCTTATATGGTCTGAAGTCTGCTACCAAGTGTGATGTTTTGGGGCCTCATGTGAGGGACTCCAGTGCAGATCAATGTCAGAGACTGCCTGAGTCTGGCCGTGAGCTACCTCTTTGGAGCTACAAAGTGATTCGCTGTTGTGGCTGCCTCTGCTGGGCCTGGGTGTGAATAGGAGGGGACAGGCTGCACACGAAGTCTGGCTTTCACCGGTACTGAGCCTGGGGGCAGGTCAGCAAAAGTCCCAAGGCACTCTGAGATCTGCTTCCACCTGCCGGCTGCTTGTTCAGCTCGGTTCCTGGAAGAGCCTCTGGCCATACACAAGTTAAGTGACATAGGCTCTCAGTGGGTCACCAGGTAGGGGCGAGTGGTGTTTATTAGGTTGATGCAGATTGAAACTTGGTGCCAGTGCTGGGTCTGAGGCCACTCAGCAAAAGTCTCAGGGTACACCAAGGCCAGCTGCCACCTTTGTGGTGGGGTGTGTTCTCAAGGTGTCATCAGAATAAGGACAACAGAGTTTATCAGGCTAAAACAGACCAAGATTTGGCTGTGTGGAGAGATGGCTCTGCATAGGAACAATGGTGCTGGTCCAGTGTGGGAGAAAAACGGCCCTCACCACACAGCTCAGTCTCTCCCTTTGCATTTCTGCCCCTCCCCGAGTCTCTTCGGACCTCCTCGAGAGCCCTCCAAGAAAGTCTGCACCATGCACCCAGGTTGGAGGCCAGGACAGGCTTTACCACCAGGAGTGATGCTGGCAGGGCAGGCCTGCAGGAGTCAGCAGGGAGGGGCCAGTGCCACTCCCAGGCTGATGCCTCGTGGAGGGGAATGCTTTGCTTAGGCACGATGGCATCTGTGGGCATTGTGGGAGAGAGACCTGGCAGAGGGACATTTGCTGCCTCGCAGCCATGCCATTCAATCTTTTCCTGTATGACTCTGCTCCCCTCCCACCTGCTGACCCTCTACTAGAGCCCAGGGTGAGTGCTGCGAATGAGATTTTGTGCACTGGCTCTTTAAGAGAGCAGCATTTCACCAGGGTGGGTAAAATCCTTGCTGGATTTTCACAGCCAGATACTGTGTGAGCTCATATTCCTGGTTCTAGGGCTGCAGGTTAGGGAGCCTGGCGTGAGGCTGAGGCCCCTCGCTCCTGCAGGAGGACCTCTTCAGCTGCAACATCCCTCTGGATTCTTAACTGCCCCCCGCCACGAACAATGTGGGTGTGGAGCCGGCCCTTTTTGCATCTCTTCTCTTCCTGCCAGTCTCAATGTGGCTTCCTCTGTATTCCTTAGATATATGACTTCTGTTCAGTTGATGTTTAGATGGTTATTCAGGTTGATCGTTCCGTGCTTCAGCTGCATTTCTGACGTGATCCTGGGAGGAGGTGAGTGTAACTTTCACCTACTCCACTGCCATCTTGTTCTGAACTCAGGGACTTCTCTTCCTCCTCCTCCTTCTTCTCCTTCTTTTTCTCCTTTTACAGATTATAGTGACAGATTATATCTGAATACATATTTAATAGATAAATATTAGAAGTTGTTACATCATCTAATTATATACAACTTTGTGTCAGTGACTTCTTAATTGTCAAATCCAGTAAACACTTTTTATTCTTCTTCTTACTGAACTCTCTTATGTTATCTCAATGGTTCTCAGATTTGGGGGCTGTGTAAAACATAGACTTAGGGCCCCACCTCCAGGCTTCCTGATTCAGTAAGTCTGGGGCCTGAATTTCCAAAGTTCCTGGGTGACACAGATGCTTCTGCTTGGAGAGCACACTTTGAGAACTATTGTTTTATCTAATAATGATCATGCTCTCCTTTAAGTAGACTGCTCTTTTTGCTTCTGTGACAGCATATTTTCCTAGCTCTCTGTCTCTCTGAACTTTTTTTCTTGGTCTCTCTTGTGAGGCTTCTTTTCCTCACCTTCTTCAGCAGGCCCCATTGACTCAGTTCTAAATGGTTTGTGTACCTAGTTAGACTTGCAGTTTGTGATTGCAAATGCAATTATAAACAAGAAAAGTAAACCACTGGCTGTTTTGTTTCTTAACCCTTGGAACATGTACCCAATTAACTTATCTGTAAAAAAAGTAACCAAAGGAGACACCCTAAAAAAGATGAATTTTGAAGTTACTTATATATGGGATGATTATTGCTAAAGTAGGCCAAGTTATTTAAAAAGAAAACAACTTATTGAAATATAATTCACATACCATAAAATTTGCCCCTTTATTTATTTATTTTTAAATTCGCCCCTTTAAAGCATACACTTCAGTGGTTTTTGGTGTATCCACCAAGTCATGTCACCATAACCGCAAATTTCATTTGCTCCCAAAAGAAACCCTGCACTCATTAAGCGCCCACTCCTCATTTCCTTCTCTCCTTAGCCCCTGGCAACCATTCATCTACTTTCTATCTTATGGATTTGCTTATTCTGGACATTTCATATGAATGCAGTTACATAATATGTGATCTTTGGTGTATGGCTCCTTTGACGTAGCATAATGAATGAAAGCATGTTTTCAAGGTTCAGCATATTTTAGCATGTATTAGTACATTGATTCTTTTTTATGGCTGAATAATATTCCATTGTATGGATATTTTGAGTTATTTCTACCTTTTTGGCTAGTATGAATAATGCTACTATGAACATTCATGTACACGTTTCTATGTGAATGTATGTTTCAATTCTTTACGTATATGCCTAGAAGTGGAATTGTTGGGTCATATGGTAACTGTGTGTTTAAGTTTTATTTTTTTATAAGAGAACATTTACTTAGAATGTTACAGAGGTAAAAGAAGTGAGCTGTAGAAGAAATGAGCTCAAGAAACAAGTTACAGAGGTCAATAGAAGCGTTTGGAGCTTAGGAGGAAGAGAGAGAGGCAAGGAAAACACCCCTGGGTGAAGGGGGTGGGGAAAGGTTGGGTTTGCTCCCGAGAGAGAGCCACTGTGTTTATCTTTTTGAAGAGCTGCCAAATATGTTTTCCAAAAGTGGCTGTACTATTTTATAATTCATTACTTGTTGAGTTTCTCCTTTGTGCTTTAATTATGCTTTTATAAATTTTATCGCTTTTAGATATCTTGATTTTAGACTTACAAACTAAATATCTCCTGAAAGAAATGCTTTTGTAACATCAAATGTCTCTAAATTAGTCAAAAATATCTATCACTACTTTATTGTAACCCTATTTTTAATGTATGCTATCTGTTCTAAAAATGCAGAGTAATAAATATAACTAACTTTTTATTTTGTCAACAGAGTGGGAGGCTAAGCAAAGAGCTGGATTTAGTAAGTCACCATGTGAGGACAAAACTGGATGAACTGAAAAGGCAAGAAGTAGGAAGGTTAAGAATGCTAATTAAAGCTAAATTAGATTCCCGTCAAGGTAAGTCCTAAATAAAAGGTAGGAAAATTTCAATATTTGGTGTTGCAGTCAATTTACATTAATACATGCCATGCTCTTCTCATCAAAATTTAATGTTAGTATTAATTTGGCTTCCCTTAATTTTTAAAATTTAATTATTTGAATAAGCAATACTTTAACATCGTTCAAAAATCAAATGATTGGCTTTAAATAATTATATCAATAACAAGGAAAAATGAAAAGTAATGGACGAAACCACTGATTTAAAAGAGGAAAAGTGAACTGTCAGAAAATTGAAATGTGTGAAAGTCCCACAACCAAGGAAATAAATAAGTTACATTCATTAAGACGGGTAGGAGGGTTGGACTTAACGGAGCCGTGGAGAGGTGAAACTGCCTAGTCCCACGCTCATGTGTGTTGGATAAAAGTCGGGAGTGAGGGATCCCAGCCCCATACCAGACCACCCAGCCCAGGGTTCCGGTGCCAGGAAGATAAGTCCCGTAACTTCTAGCTGTAAAAACCAGTGGGGTTTAGGGTGGTGAAAAACACTGTGGGATTCTCAGACGTCTCCTCTTAAAGGGCGCACAACGAACTTAGGGCTCATTCAGACTCACTCCCTCTGGGCTCCAGCACGTGGGCAACTGCTGGAAGGGCACTGGGGGCATCCAGGAGCAACTGAAGTGTCTGGCATCACGACAACTACTGGGGAACAGCTTCTTCCCAGACAAAACTCCAGAGGCCAGGCAGTGGCCTTTTCTGAGCCCTACCCCCCACACAGAGCCACATATCTGAACTCCATCAGCCTGGTTCACGGGTTGCCCAGCCCTGGTGATTGCCTAAGGCTCCACCCCACCCAACTTACGGGCTTCATCATAACCAAACCATTATTATATGAAATGTTAAAGGGACTTATTTAAGAAAAAGAAGATCAAAACTATGAACATTAAAATGGCAATAATTCACAACTATCAACAATTGAATCTGAAAAAAAAACAACTAAGCCAACATGGAGAACAGAAATAGAATCATAGACATGGAGATCATTTGGAGGGTTATAAGCTGGGAGGGGGAAGGGGGAGAGTAGGGGAACAGGTGCAGGGATTAAGAAGTACAAATTTGTAGCTACAGAGTAGGCATGGGGATGTTAAAAACAGTAGGAAACATAGGAAATGGAATTGCCAAAGAAGTTATATGCATGACCCATGGACATGAACTAAGGGTGAGGGGGATTGCCAGACGGAATGGGGGGTGCTGGGTAGAGGAGGGCAAAGTGGAAAAAATTGGGACAACTCTAATAGCATCAGTAAAATATATTTGAAAAAATTAAAGAGGAAAAATAACATCAAAGCAAACCAAAAGAAAGCAGAGAGAGAAAATCTAATTGGAACAATTTACATAGATGACATAGAAAATTTGTCAGAGAGCTAGATCCACAAAAAACACTAGGCCCAGAAAATGTCAAAGGCAGTTCTATGAAACCATTAAAGAGAAGATTGTGAATGCTGTTTAAACTATTGTAGAACATAGAAAGGAGATAATCTTCCACACTCATTGTGTGTTGATGTCAAACCCAAAATTAATTGTATGTCTAAAGAATTCTGTATCATAGCAAGTGGATCTATTTCAAAAGCATAAGAAATCTAATACTATAAGTCATCATATGACTAGAAATAAAGAAAAAAGATTTCAGTGTGACAAAAGAAATCATAAAGTCAAAGGACAAATGATAAATTGGGATAGTACTTTGAAGCCTGTATTTTTAAAAATTAAGATAATTTTTTAAGAGCAATATAAGATTTCACAGCAGATTTATCATATACCTTCTTTCCCTAAACATGCATAGCCTCCCCCATTACTAACATCTTCCACCAGAGTGGACATTGTTACAGCTGATGAATCTACACTGATATATCATATTCACCTGAAGTCCGTGCTTTAGAGTTCACCCTAGGTGTTCTACATTCTATGGGTTTGGACAAATTTATAATGACATACCTACCATGATAGTATCATACAGAGTGGTTTCATTGCCCCAGAAGTCTTCTGTGCTCTGTCTATTCATACCCCCACTCCCACAATCTGTTAATTTTAGACTGTGGAAAGAATAAGTAGCTATAAAGTAGATTTTAAATTTTATTTTAATTTTTTTTTGCAGATTTTTTTTATTGATTATGCTATTGCAGCTTTCCCAATTTTTCTCCCTTTGACCGTCTCCACCCAGCAACCCCTGCTTCCTCAGGCAACCCCCACACCATTGTTTATGACCACTGGTCATGCATATAAGTTTTTTTAAAATTTAATCTTTATTGTATTTTTTTTTCCATGATCAATTAGTCCCCTTATAACCCCTCCTCTGAGGTATCACCACACTGTTGTCCATGAGTCCTTTTCCTTTTGGCTCAATCCTTCCACTCCCTAAACCCTGTCCCCCACTAGCTGTATCAGCACTCCATCTATGAGCCTGTCTTTGTTATGCTTGTTAGATCAGTTGGTCATTAGATTCCACATATGAGTGAAATCATATGGGATTTGTCTTTCTCTGACTGGCTTCTTTCACTTAGCATAGTGTTCTCCAAGTCTGTCCCTACTGTTGCAAAGGTAAAATTTTCTTCTATTTTTACAGCCCAGGTATATACAGTTTTTCGCCATTCCATTTTCTATACTGTACTTGACATCCCATGGCTATTCTGTCACTACCTATTTGTACTTCTTAATCCCCTCACCTCTTCATCCATCCTCCTCATCCCCCCTCCCATCTGGCAACCTTGCATTAACTAACTTTTCTCTTGCTTTTGAGAGTCTCACTTTATCTTTAACCTTTGGCCTCTTAATAATGATGTGCCTTGGAGTGGCCCTCTTTGCATCCATCATAATTGGACTCTGCGCTTTCTGGGCTTGAATGTCTATTTCCTTCACCAAAATTAGGAAGTTTTCTTTCACTGTTTTTTCAAATAGATTTCCAATTTCTTGCTCTTTCTCTTCTCCTTCTGGCGCCCCTATGAAGTGAATGTTAGACCTCTTGAAGTTGTCCTAGAGATAGGCTTACACTATCCTCATTTTTTTTGGATTCCTTTTTCTGATTGGTTGTTTTTTGCTTCCTTATGTTCCAAATCATTGATTTGATCCTTGGCTTCATCTACTCTACTGTTATTTCCCTGTAAGTTGTTCTTTATTTTAATTAGTGTACCCTTTGTTTCTGACTGGATCTCTTTTATGCTGCTGAGCTTCTCACTGAGTTCCTTGAGTATCCTTATAACCAGTTTTGAACTCTGCATCTAATAGATTGCATTTTGTTTAGGTATTTTTCCAGAGTTTTGAAAGTATGGTTTTTTCGTATGTGTCATGATTCTGTGTCTCCTCACTTTAGCAGCTTCCATGTATTTGTTTGTATGTATTAGGTGGAGCTTCTGTGACTCCCTGTCTTGGTAGTGTGGCCCAATGTAGTAGATGTGTCCTATAGGGTCCAGTGGCACAGCCTCCCCTATCACCCAAGCTGGGCATTCGAGAGTGTCTGCTTTGTGGGCTGAGTACACCCTCCTCTTGTAGTTGAGCCTTGATTGCTGTTGGCAGGTCAATGGGAGGGATTTACCTAGACCAGTCAGCTACAAGGATTGGCTGTGACCACTGACCACCAGCCCCTGCCCTCATGGAGGATCAGCTGTGCAGGGGCAGGGTGGTGGTGCTCTGACATGGTCTGTAACTGTCCACTGAGTACACAGGCTCTGGAATATCCCGGGTGGTGCAGACCAAGGTCAGCCATGACCTGTGTTCTGCCCAGGGCCACCCTGCATGAGCTATAAAGCAATCTGAGATGGCTGCTACTTGTGCTGGGCTTGGAGATTCCCAGGCAAAGCATAGGTGTGAATCTAGGTTGGCTGCTGCTTGTTCTGGACCTGGGGTCACTTAGCAAGAGATATGGGGGCTGGGGACTTACTGAGGCCAGCTGTTGCTTGTTTGATAGGATTTAGGAAGTTGTAAAACACGAGCCAAGAACAGCCATTTATACGGAAAAGTCACAGTTAACAGTGTGAATGGGCCAGTTTGGGTAAGACAGAGTCTCAAGGGATCTCCAGGGCAGGACAAACAGGGTGAGCCAGGTTGATGGAGTCTCAGTTATGTCACCCACCTGCTCTGTGGCTCTGTGTGGGGAGGGCTCAGAAAGGGGACAGTGGTCTCTTCCTACTTTTCCGCTTGTGAGAAAGCTGTCCCCTAGTTCCTGCCTTCATGCCAGCCACTTCAGTTCCTCCCCGTATGCCACTGGTGCTTTTCAAGCTGCTACCCCGGTGCTGGAGCTCAGAGGGAGTGAGTCAGAGTAAGTCCATGTGTGTGTGTTTTTAAGGGGAACTGTTTGGGACTCCAGAAGTTTCTTCCACTGACATAATCCCCACTGGTTTTTGCAGGCAGAAGTTAGGGGGACTTATCCTCCTGGTATTGGAATGCTGGGCTGAAGAGCCTAGTGTGGGGCTGGGACTCCTTGCTCCCAAGATATCCCTCCTGAATTCTCATCCACCACATGTGGGTGTGGGACAAGCCCATTCTGCATCTCTGCCCTCGCTACCATTCTGGATATGTGTGGTTTCTTTAATTCTGTTGTTGTCAGACTTCCATTCAACTTGATTTCTGATGGTTTTGAGTGATGGTTGTTCTATATTTTAGTTGTAATTTTGATGTGGTTGTGTATAAAGGTGAGCCATGTTTACTTCTACTGCCATCTTGACCGAAGCCTAAGAAGTAGATTTTTTAAATATAAGGATACTTTAAAGAAAGTAACCACGTAAGTCAAATGATCATCTTCATATATACGGAAAAGGCATTTGACAAAATTTAACACCCTTTCTTAATTTGAGAAAAGTAATAAGATAGTAGTCAATAGATACTTCTTTAACATGATCAGTTATGTTCAACTCAGCTACATTATACTTAACAGGGAAACACAAGCCTGTATTGTAACTAAACTTGGAAACAAGACAATTGATGCTCACTATTACCAGTAATAATTAACATTATATTGGAGGTACTAGCCAAAGCAATTATAAAAGTGAAAAAAATGATTGAGGAGAAGTAACTGAAAGGAGGTGAATAAAAACCATCTCTGTTTGCAGATGATGTGTGTGGAAAACCCAAAGTAATTGGCCAAAAGCTTAGTTTAAGCAACAGGAAAATTTATCAAGTTAAATTTATTATAAAGAAATCAGTATATTTTATATGTACAACCAACAGCCAGATAGAAGATACAATGGAATAAAAGACTCCATTTGTAATACCAACAAAGATAAAATACTCAGAATAAACCAATTAAGAAATATACATGACTTACATACAAAAAATGTATAATACTCCTGAAGGACATAAAAGTAGACTTGAAAAAAAATTGGGAGACATATAAAGACTCAAGATTATAAACATGTCAATTCTCTGTAGGTTAATTTATAAATTTAACATAATCCAAATAAAAATATGTACTTTTTTTCTGGTACATTACTAGACAAATTAATTTTAAGGTTCATATGAAAAAGGTAACAAACAAGGAATGCTCCATACCTCTGAAAAAGAACAATGAAGAAGGACTAGATATATTAGTATTAAACTATATCAGAAAGCCTCAGTCATTAGAACTATATGTTTTTGACATATAAGTAGAAAGACAAGTGGAACAGAATAGAAATTCCAGAAGTAAAACTAAATACCCATAGAATTCAGTTTGAATTAAATATGGTATGTCATTTTTAGTGGGATAGATTTTTAAAGACTTTATTTCTTTATTTTTAGAGAGAGGGGAAGGGAGGAAGAAAATGAGGGAGAGAAACATCAGTTGGTTGCCTCTTGGACCCACCCCAACCAGGGACCAAACCCAGAACCCAGGCATGTGCCCTGACTGGGAATTGAACCGGCAGCCTTTGGCTTTGTGGAACAATGCCCAACCAACTGAGCCACACCAATCAGAGCTGGAATAATAGTTCTTAATCTTCACATTGCATAAGAACCCCCTGGGGAGCTAGTTGAAAATGCAGATTACTGGATCTCACCTCCAGATTCTGATTTTGGGTATGAATAATCTGCATTTTAAACACATACTCCTGATCAGTGGATTATAGTGGGAGAGGAGGATGTTTATGTACAGCATTAAACTCCCTGCTGGTGAATAGTCTTAAAGAACAAGTGCCAAATACTCATTATCCTGAAATTAGGGATATCAATGGGATGTAAATTGAGCTCATAGCAGACTATTTAGGTCACCAGGCACACAAGGTAATTTCACCCTTGAAACCAGGTCTAAAGTGTTTTGAGATTTTCCCCTCAGACAAACTCCATATCCTCAATCTTGGCAATATTTTCTTTATTTCTAGGTAGAGACTGAATTTCATTATCTAAAGAAAACAGCCTAATATACTTAGAAAACTTATGACTGTTTTGTCATGGATTCAGAATTTATGAATTGAAATTTTTGAAAATTTGAAGGGTTTCAAGGCTCTAAATTGGGAGGAAGTATAATTTTTAAAGTAGGTAATGCATTCACATGGTTTAAACCCAGAAAGTATAAGAAAGAATATAGCAAAAACCCCTTAATTTTTTTGTAACCTGCCAATTCCCACTGCCCTGACATTGTCCTTCCTGAGTTTCTTTTTTCTTATATGAGCAAATACAAATAAAAGTTCTTGCTTTTCCTCTCTTTTTTCATGAATGCTAGCATACAATACAGTTTTGCCTTGTTTTTTTCCTTTACCAATATATTTTGGAGGCTTTTCTATATTAGTACATAGAGACCATCTTCATCTTTAAAAAACAGCTGCACAGATTTCCATTATGTAGAGATGTGACAATTTATTTAACTAGGCTCCTGTTGGTGGACATTTGGGTTTTTTCTAGCGAACACTCTTGTTCATATGACGAGGTCTGTCCAGAAAGTATCAAGCTATATGCTGTGAAAAATACAGACATTTATTGAAAAAGATACAAGAAACGTACATAGGACAATGATGCCTCAGTTTCCTTCAAAGTAGGCACCTTGGGTCCTCATACAGTTCTCCCAGTTGCCATCAGCTGCCCCATCATATTTTCCTAAATCTCATCTATGGTCTGAAATCTCTTCCCTTTCAAACGTGATTTTAGTTTTGGGAAAAGCCAGAAGTCTCACGGTGCCAAATCTGGGCTGTAGAGGGGCTGAGTCACTTGGGTGATTTGATGTTTTGTCAAAAGACTGAGAAAAAGTGATGCATGAGTAGGTGCATTGTCCTGATGAAGCTGCCAATCTCCTCCAGTTGCCCGTAGCTGTGGCCTTCTGGATCATTTGAATAGTTTCTGTGGAGGAATGCTCAAACTTAATGCAAAATTTGATGCAGATTCGTTGCTCTACTTGCTCAGTACACATTCTCACTCAATAGTGTCTACCACCCCTACTGACTAGTACAGTGAAGTCATCATTGTTCATGCGTGTGCATACCAGTCTACTCTCCTTGGCTGCCAGATTACATCAATGTCCCGCAAGATGTTCTCGTTATAATAATGGCTGGACTTTTTCTGCACAGACTTTGTATATCACTATGTATCTGCATAAGATCCCTTGAAGGATACATTCCCCACAGTGAAAATGTTAAGTTAAAAGATAAGATGTATGTATTTGTAATTTGAATAGATATTGCCACCTCTGTAAAGGTTGCATCCATACCTATTCCCACCAGCAATAATGTGTCACAGTTTTGCTTATAGTACGCATGTTCAAACATTACAAATTTTGCCCTGGCTAGGTAGTTCAGTTGTTTGGAGCATTGTTCAGATACACCAAGGTTGCAGGTTCGATACTCAGTCAGGGCACGTAGGAGAATCAACCCATGAATGCCTAAATAAATAAATGAAACAACAAATCGATAACACATCAATGTTTCTCTGTCTCTGTCTCCCTCCCCCTTCCTCTCTCTCTAAAAATCAATAAAATAAAAAACTTTAAGACTTTTGCCACTCTATTACGTGGTGTACTAGTCAAGTTTTAATATGTATTTCTCTCATTTTGAGTGAGGTTGAGTGTCTTTTCATTTATTTCACTGTCTGGTTGTATCCTTTAGGGCTAAGCCTTATAACAAATGTTTTATCATAATTAAAACTCCTGGTACAGTGTCATACTAAGAATTCAGTAAAAGCTTGGTTGAACTAAATTTAGTGGTTTCTTTCTTTTGAATATAACAAAATCGCCCAGGCTTATCTTGTATCGCCCCTCCAGCCCAGGAATTGGTCGTTGATGTGAGCATCTTTTTTTAAGTGGGAAATGATATTACAGACCAAGGGCTGGCACTAGGTGTGCTCATTGCTTCTGGAATACATATTTTTCTTGGCACTTTCATTGGATAGAGTTAGGAAGTACATGCATGTCTATACACATTTACATGTATGCACATTTGTGAGTATATATGTGTGTTTATATAGATACACATGCATATGTACCTGAAATATATGTATACACATACGTATTTTATAAATGATAAATTCACACTTTATCCCCATATAGATGGGGAATAATAGATTCCCATCTATTTCCATTGGTTTCTTGTCTTCTGTCATTCCGTATTAGTATATTCATTTTTCCTACCTGGGAACTGTGATTTCTAACAGATCAGCGCATATACCTATTTTGTTCAATTCTATAATACTATACAGTCCAAAATCACTTCACTTATTCAACAACTATATATTACTTACAGTAGCTTTGTTTTTAAATATTTTTTACAGAGAAAAACAATTGGTGTTTCTTTAAAAATCAGTCATTATTCAAATGAATTTACTGGGATTAGATTTTATTGCCTAAAAGATTAATTGGAGCATCATACAAAAAATATTTCATATAAGTTTTAGAGCAGTTCTTTTTAGAAGTTCTACTTAGACCTTTGATGAGGGTAGTATATTAGAATTTATCTAAAGAAACATAAGAAATTTGGTAAGTAGTTTTATAATAGTAAAACATTTTTGCTATTAATTACACTGGTCAACTAGTCTTTCTAGAAATAATGTTAAAATGTACACATTAAATTGCATTCCATTCTATATTCAAGGACATTGCCTTTGTCTAGAATAATAATATGTACAATATTCTAAAAGAAATTATTAACCCTTAGTCTAAACTTTGAGTTTTGTTATAAAATTGAATAGAAACCAATATGAATGCTTGCTCTTATATGTTGTTTATATTAATGTTTCTAGCTTCTAAAAATTTATCATTTATAGTTTTCTCATTTTCTTTCAGATACAGGCATGGACCACCATGCTCTGCTAAAACAGTTTGATCACCTAAACCACCTGAATCCTGACAAGTTTGAATCTAGAGATTTAGATATGCTGATCAAAGCAGTAAGAATAATTCCAAAAAATAGTGTCTTTGTTGTGACTTTGAGGTTTTGTAAGTAATATCCATATATAATGGTTATATATATCTGTAATTTGACAAGTAAATTCAATGAAGTGGTAATGTCACTTTTATATGCTACTCTCTAGAATATCTTTAGAGGGAGGTGGCTTAACCTTTATCAGTACAGATAATATTTGTACATACAGGTCTGTAATCTCTTACCCACAATTGCAAAATTTCCCCTCCCCCCAAAAAAACCTGAAACCTGGCTTGAATTATAAATTTTAGCAGGGCTACTTATATATTTCATTTAGCCTACTTAGTGTGAGTATTCATAGATTTTGCTACCGAAGTATTTTTCTTTTTGATTACAGACTCTGCAGGGATGTTACATAATGTGGCGTATGTGCCATATTCCCTGTCTTAAAAAAAATTTAGAAAATTCTTTTTTTTTGCTTCCAGTTTTATTGAGATAGAATTGACATGTAACAGTGTTTAACTCAAGGTGTACTGCATAATGCCTTGACATTGCAAAATGATTACCAAAAGAAGTTTAGTTAACACCCATCACCTCATATAGTTACAAAACATTTTTTTTCTTGCACTGAGAAATTTTAGGGTTTATTCTCTTGGCAACTTTCAGATATACCATACAACATTATTAAGCATAGTCACCATGTTATACATTACATCCTCCGGACTTACTCATCTTATAACTAGATGTTTGTACCCTTTGACCACCTTCAGTCAACTTTCCCACCCTCTGCCTCTGGTAACCACAAATCTGATCTCTTTTCCTATGGAATTAGTTTTTTTTTTAGGATTCCAGATCTAAATGAGATTATACACTATTTGTTTTGCCTGACTTATTTCACTTAGCATTTGGCCCTCAAGATCCTTTCATGTTGTCACAAATAGCAGGATTTCCTTTTTATGGATGAAGTGATGGACACAGGTTGTTTCCATCTCTTAGCTATTTTAAATAAGTTAGCTGCAGTGAACATGGGAATGCAGATATCTTTTTGCTACAGTGATTTTGTTTCCTTTGGGTATACACCCAGAAGTAGAACTGTTTGGTTATATGGTAGTTCTGTTTTTAATTTTTTGAGAAGCCTCCTTACTGTTTTCCATAGTGGCTGCACTAACTTACAATCCCACCAACAGTATGTGAGGGTTCCCTTTTCTCCACATCCTCACCAGCATTTAGCTCTTTTCTTTTTAATGGTAGCTATTCTGAAAGGCATGAGGTAATATCTCATTGTGGTTTTGATTTGCATTTCCCTAATGGTTATTGATGTTGAGCACCTTTTCATGTACCTGTTGGCTATTTGAATATCTTCTTTGGAAAAATGTCTATTCAAGTCCTTTACCCATTTTTATATTGGATTATTTGGTTTTTTGCTATTAAGTTTATGAATTCCTCTTTTTTTTGAACCACTTGCTTTGGGCTGCATTCCCAAGCAACCTGACTCTGGGAAGACCAGGGCCCCATGCGCTGAGTCCTTTTATTTTTTTAAAAAAGATTAAGATTTTATTTATTTATTTTTTAGAGAGAGGGGGAAAAAGAGGAAGAGAAATGTCCATGCCTCTCGTGTGTCCCCAGATGGGAACCTGGCCTGCAACCCAGGCATGTGCCCTGACTGGGAATCAAACCAGCAACCCTTTGGTTCGCACACGAGCACTCAATCCACTGAGCCACACCAAGTTTATGAATTCTTTATGCATTCTGGATATTAACCCCTTATCAGATATATGATTTACAAATATTTTCTCCCATTCCATAGGTTGTCTTTTCATTTTGTTTATTGTTTCCTTTGCTGTGCAGAAGCTTTTTAGTTTGATGTAGTACCTCTTGGTTTGTTGTTGTTGTTGTTGTTGTTGTTGTTGTGCTTTAGGTATCATATTTAAAAACCATTGACAAAACCCATGTCAGGGAGCTTGTTAAGGACCCATGGACAAAGCCAAAGAGAGGAAGGATTGAGGATGGGAGGTGAGGGTGGCTGGGGCAGAGGAAAGTGGTGTTGGGAAAATGGTAGCAGCTGTACTTGAACAACATTAAAAAAAAACCCAGAACCTTTTTGCCTACATTTTCTTCTAGGAGTTTTACGGTTTCAAGTCTTCTGTTTAGGTCTTTAATACACTTAGAGTTAATTTTTATGTGTGGGGTAAGGGATTCAGTTTTACTCTTTTATATATGAATATCCTATATTTCCAATACTATTTATTGAAGAGTATCCTTGGCTCTCTTGTCAAGCATTAGTTGAGAGAAAATTCTGAGGCTCATCTGGCCTCAGGGATTTTATTTATTTATTTATTTATTTACTTATTTATTTATTTATTTATCGATTAGTAACTTATGAATTGTTTATTCCTGGAATTTTTCTTTTTTAAACTTTATTTTTATTGTTGACACTATTACAGATTCCCCATTTTTCCCCCTTTGCCCACCTCCACCAGCCTCCGACTCCCCTACCCCCGGCCTCAGGGATTTTAGATAAGAGCAGACCTCTCATGGTGTACTGTACCAAGCTACGAAACTAAATGTTCTTGCCTGGCTGTTATGAGATTGAGTGAAGTGGTTAGAAACTAATCTGGTTTTCTATTGTATAGATTTGATACAGCCCCTTCTTCTTTTTCAAATCAATTTATGTATTACTTATGAGGAACTTCCTAAACTTTCAGTTTCTTTGAATGTCTGCATTTCTGGTAATAATAATGACTGAAGTAAATGGTAGGATTTAAAAAGAAGAGTCCATTCTATATTTTCTGACCTTCTATAGTGTTTTCTGTTAGAAAATATGCTATATGTAAGAATGGCTTTGTTTATGTTTTTCAAAATATGACTTTAATTTAAATACTACATTATAGGCTACAAGTGACCTGGAACACTATGATAAGACTCGACATGAAGAATTTAAAAAATACGAAATGATGAAGGAACATGAAAGGAGAGAATATCTAAAAACATTGAATGAAGAAAAGAGAAAAGAAGAAGAAGCTAAATTTGAAGAAATGAAGAGAAAGCATGAAAATCACCCCAAAGTTAATCATCCAGTAAGGATTATGACTTTATGAAATCATAATTAGATGAAAATACTTTGTACAAGATAGTAGAATTTTCTCCTAAGTTACTGGTACTTAAATCTTGATTCTTAATTCTGAAAAGTTCCTCAAATTTATATTTTATTTTGAGTATATACACATAGTTTATATTTTGTTTTGAGCAGTTTTTTGTTTTTTTAAAATTGATTCACAGGGGAGCAAAGATCAACTAAAAGAGGTATGGGAACAGACTGATGGATTGGATCCTAATGACTTTGATCCCAAGACATTTTTCAAATTACATGGTAATGTATTTAGACAAATATTAATATTTATAGCTGCTGTTTGAAAAATTATAGGTTGCTTTACTCTTAATATTTCTGCCAAGGTGTGCTATTGAATCCTCTTGATAGTAAATGTTAAGACTTCTTCTCTAGAGTAATATAATAGTCTTTATTGCTGATATGCAGTATAAAATATTTTAGGTCAGTAGCTTTGTCTTTATACTTACTTTTACTGTTAAGTCATTATATGACTTATTACAAGATTCTCTGTTAAATGAAGTATTTCTGTGACTAGGTAGGTTATATCTAACAGGAGTTATGTTATATTAATATTTACTTTTACTCTTAGAGCATATTGCTCTACTTTATATTTTTGAAAAAAAATTGTTTGATAGAGTTTTCTAAAAAACTATGATAAATTATAAATAAGTGAACTGTTATCAGCTGGACTGATCTGAGGCTTCATAAAAAAAGAAGAAAGCTTTTTCTGTAGTATATTATTTCTTTTGTCAGTACTACTTTTGCAAACCATATGTAAATAGTTGTATCTTAATTATTTTCTAAGGCATTAAAATCAGTTTTTTGCATTGGAAATTTTAGATGTCAATAGTGATGGCTTCCTTGATGAACAAGAATTAGAAGCCTTGTTTACAAAAGAGGTAAATGAATTCATTAAGTATTTGGTTGTTTTGCTCTCTCTTTATTTCCTTCTGTTTTCTTTCTTTGTTTTACGGTGGTTTAAAATTTTTCTTTTTAGTTGGAGAAAGTATATGACCCCAAAAATGAAGAGGATGATATGGTAGAAATGGAGGAAGAAAGGCTTAGAATGAGGGAACATGTAATGAATGAGGTATGTCTTAAAAATTTTAAGATATGTTACTTCTATGGATTATTCAAATTGTTGTAATAAATTTTACCACAAATGGAAGACAAATATACAGAATTCATATTTAATTGGATTTTGCATTTTTGATCCAGAAATCCAGAATATTCAGTAGGTTCCCTTAGTGTAAATAAATTTTTTGTAACTCCTTTAAAATATATTTTTTAATTTATTGATTTTAGAGTGAAACAGTATGGGGGAGAGAGAGAGACAGACAGCCATCAATTTGTTGTTCCACTTATTTATGCATTCATTGGGTTGATTCTTGTATGTGCCCTGGCCAGGGATTGAACCCACAACATTGGTGTATGGGGACAACGCTCTAAGCAACTGAGCTACCCAGCCAAGCCTAAAATATTTTAAAAGATTAAGATGCTGTTGCATATCACCTATAAACATCCTTTTGGAAGTAAAAAAATAATGTAGTCCAATATTTGGTATATTAAATGGCTATTTTAGTTTTTGGTAAGAAAATCTAGAAACCCAATACGTAAGTGGTTTATAACAACACGTATTTATTTCTTGTTCACATTAGTAAGCTGAAAACTCTGATATAGACATCAAAAGCAGGGTAACTAAAGCCCACTGTTCTACTTTAGGGATTTTCACCTGATATTGATAAATTGGGATTTCTGTTGACTACTGGCATTTCAGGGTAGCAAATGAATGTCTGTTGTTTTTTTTTTTTTAATTTTATTTATTTATTTTTAGATAGAGTGGAAGGGAGAAAGAAAGAGAGATAGAGAAACATCAATATGTGAGAGAATCATCGATGGGTTGCCTCTCGGCCTGCAACCCATCACTGGGGTTGGTGCCCTGACTGGGAATTGAACCAGCAACTCTTTGTTTCACAGGCTGGTGCTCAATCCACTGAGCCACAAGAGCCAGGGCACAAATCAACTTCATTTTGGCTATTACTTTTGTAACTGAATTTGCCATAGTTTAAAAGAGCCATTGAAGGATTTGGAGAGGTTGTAAACTTTTGTTTTGATTTACTTAGTTGTTTGTTTTTAAGAAAAAATGTTGACAGCATTTTAACTTAAACTCCTTTACTCTGGCTAAACAGTCCTCTTACTGGAAAGGTTATTTTTCTTGCCCGAACACACTTGGCTCCAAGAGAGATTATACATAGTGTGGTGAGGGAGAAAGACAACACTAGACAACTACTGGTCAGATCAGCAGCTTAAACTTGGTGACCTATGGGGGTATCAGGGATATAGACACTTCACTGTATTTTCAAATTTGACTTTCATAGAAAAGAAAAGTATCTGTTTTCTGATTCTAGTATAATGTTGAGTGTTCTGTTTTGTCTTTTATTTTCCCCTCAGTGTTTGTGGATGTTAGGCCAGCTCTAACTGCTGTATGTTTATGTAGTGGCAGCTGTTGGAATACAGTTTCCAGTGTCTAAATAATACTACAAAAAGTTATTTGACTTTACTACATTTTCCTTTAATCAGGTTGATTCAAACAAAGACCGATTGGTGACTCTGGAAGAGTTTTTGAAAGCTACACAAAAAAAGGAATTCTTGGAGTCGGACAGCTGGGAGGTAATGGAACCTACTTGAAAATGGGATGTATGGTTCAAGAAATTCTACATCAGTCCATTCTACTTTTAACTTTTAGTCACCATTATGTATGCATGTATCATCTTACCATTTTGGCTTTTCATGTAAAATGTCACTTTAAAATAATAATCTTGGCTTCTTGGAAAGCTTGTGGCAATCGATCTCTTGTAATTACATTGCATATGAATAGAAGTCCTTTAGGAGGGGAGATTTCTATTTTTGGTTGTCTTATTATTTTAGATATTTTTAAAAAACATTTTCTTTTCTTCACCATAATTTTTGATTGTTTTGGGAGGGAGATTTCTTTAGAAGTCTTTTAAAAATTGTAAAATAATGTTCTTTCTTGAAAATTAGAAATATAAATACACTTGAATAAATTAGAAGTTACTTAAAATGGAGACACTAAAATTATGTATTGTGTTATGCCAATTTAGAAAGAGTTTATATATTTAGTATATGCCTTTATAGTATACAGTGTATAAATAGTGTATGGTCCTATCTTTACTTTATGTATACACATAAATTCATAACTATATAGGAGGCATGTCCAGAAAATATCCATCCACATAATATGAGAAAGAGACATTTACTAAAGAAGATACAAGATACAAGAAACATTGTGCATAGGACAATAATGTCTCAGTCCCCTTCGAAGAAGGCACCTTGGGACCTCACACAGTTCTCTCAATCACTATTAACTGCCTTGTTATATTTTCCTGAATCTTATAGACTGCCTGAAATCTCTTCCTTTTCAAAAGTGATTTTAGTTTTGGGAAAAGCCAGAAGTTATAGTGTCAAATCTGGGCTGTAGGGGGACTGAGTTACCTGGGTGACTTGATGTTTTGCCAAAAACCTCTGCATGAGATATGATGCACACGCAGACGCGTTGTCATGATGAAGCTGCCAATCACCAGTTGCCCAGAGCTTCAACTTTCTTAATCACCCAAATAGTCTCCAAGGAGGAATGTTCAAACTTAATGTAAAATTTGATGTAGATTCGTTGCTGTACTTGCTCAGTTGTTTTGAATGCGACAGCCACATAGTACACATGCTCACTCAACAACGTCCACCGCCCTCGTTGACTAGTACAATGAAGCTGTCATTGTTCACACGTGTGCGTTCCAGTCCACTCTTCTTGGCTGTTAGGTTACATCAATATCATGAAAACCATTCTTGCTATATTAGCAATGGTTGGAATTGTTGTGGACAGACCTCATATTTTTAAAAATGGCTTTATACTGTATAAATGACTTTGTATGTTTGTGAAATCCTGGTTTTAAAAAAATCTATCAACATTTCCTTCACATTTTCCAATGCCGTGCTTCAAAAACATGATTTAAAAAGTGACTACTTAGCATGCATGCAGTTGTGTGGTGTAGCATAATTTATATAATCATTCCTCCAGATTTAAACATTCTGGATCCATTCCACTTTTTTTTTTTGACTGTAATAAATAACACTATTATAACTATCCATTTGTTCATACATTTATGGCATCTGTGATTTCCCTACGATTAATTAATCCCTAAGAATAGAACTATTTTCAAAGTTTATGAACATTTTTAGTTTCTAAATATATCTGTCAAATTGCTCCAGAAAAGTATACCAATTTTTATCATAGCTAACTGTGTATAAATGACTGCATACACATCTTTACAAGAATGGTTGAAAGAAAAAAGAGTGGTTGAGAGGTACCAACCACACTAGATTGAGGAAAGAACATTGTCTTTTTCTATATAGAATATTTAAAAAAAGATTACCATCTTAATTATATTTTTAATTGTCCATGATATAGTTTGAGACAGGGTGACCAGCTGCCTTGGCTTACCCAGGACTGAGGAGTTTCCCAGGATGTGTCCCCAGGATGTAACTTTTTAGTGCTAAAACCAGGACAGTCCTGGCTGTTGGTCATCTTAGTTTGAGACAAAAGAAATCAGCTTTTTGATACAAGTTTTTTTCTAACATTTGAGATATTTCTGGACTTTGGTGAAGAATAATTCTAAAATTATTTAAATATGCAATCCCTTTAGTGCTTTTGGTGAACCAGATCAATAGATAATTATGTACTTTTATTCATTTTGACATAATTTCAGATATACAAAAAAGTTGTAAGAGTAAACCAAGAATCCCTGAATACTGTTTACAAGATTTTCTATTTTACATTTACTTTCCCTCCCTCTCTTTTTTCCTCTATTTTAAATCTGTGTGTATGTGTATGTTTATATAACATACAATTATTTTTGAGAGTAAATTGCACACTATACCACCTTATCCTGAAATACTCAAATGTGTAATTCTGGCAGACAAGGATTTATCTTACACAATCACAGTAAAATCATCAATCCCCCTACACACAGTATTCTAATCTATAGACTTTATTGAGATTTTTGTTAATTTTCCCAATACTGTTTTTTTACAACAAAAGAAAACCCAAGATCATTCGTTGAGTTTAGTTGTAATGTCTTTCTAATGTCCTTTAATCTGAAATAGTCCCTGAGTCATTATGTCTCACGCCATTGAAATTTCAAGAGTATAGACCAGCTATTTTGTAAAACATCTATCAGTTTAAGCATGTCTGCTATTTCCTTAAGATTCCTGCTTTTGAAAGGAATATGAATGAAGCGATGCTAAGTACATTGTATCAGGATGCCTATGCTGCTGATTTTTCCCATAACTGGCAGTGTTAACTTTGATTTATTGTTAATTGGTTAAGGTGGTGTCTACAGGCTGTTCCCATTATAAAGTTACTATTTTACCCTTTGCAATGTAAAAAGTATCTTGTCAAACCAACCATATTGCAGGAATCAGAAGTCAGCTTTAAAAAATTCACTCTACGTCATACGAGGAGTCTTTCCAAACACTATTTGTAAGCATTATTCTCATACCTATGGGGTGCTTAACTATTTTCTCAGGGTTAGACATTCAGGTTATTTTTAGTCTTTTACTGTGATTTTTTTAAAGTGCTGCTATAAACATATTTTTATATAAAACTTTTTTAAAAATATTGAACTACTATTTATTTTTTCATTATTCAATGGCAATATTTATTAGCAAGACAACAGTGGGGTGTATAATGTAAAAAGATTATTTGAAACTCCCCCTCAAAATGACTTTAAACATAAAAAAGGGTTAAAAATCCTTGGCTTCATTCTTTTTTTTTTTTTTTTCTCCAGTGCCCCATGTTTTAAACATAGCAGTGCCTGTACCATGTGATACATGTGATTACAGAATAAGCATTAGTTGGTTTAGGATCATGAAACTGTGGTCCAAAGAGGAACACAGATATTGAAACCTCACAGTAATGAAAATACATCAGCAATATTGCCCAAGGTAAAGTATATGCAAATTTCAGTGGAAGTACAGAAGAAGGCAACACAAAGAAGGCTTCACAGTAGAGATGTTTTTGAAATGAGATTGGGGCAAGGTTGGAGGAAGGCATTCTCAGCAGAAGGAATCACCATACAAAGGCACAGGAACACAAAAGAACACAGTGTATGCATTTATGGCTGGAGTGTAATAAGCACGGATATAGGGATTAGCAAGAGTTGAGACTGAACAGGTCATGTCATGAAATGCATTGTTAATGTTGGGCCCTTGGTACATTTTTAAGTATTCTGAAGGACTAATTTCCTGTGAACAGTCTATGTCCCACAGCAAAGATGTATGTATTTTAACCCTCTCATGTAATTTATTTACTTATTTATTTATTTTGTACAACATAATGATTTTATATTTGTATATATTGCAAAATGATCACCACAATAAATCTAGTTAACATCTGTCACCTATATAAAACTTTTTATATGTTTTTTATAGAATAGGTTCTCAACGTAGCATTACCAGGACCAAGGGAATATTTTTAAGACTTGATATACTTTGTAAAGTATATTGGAAGAATTGAACTAATTTACATTTCCACTAATAAAAAATGAGTGTTCTGTTTTTTTCAATGTGCTTTAATGATACACTTTGAGACTGTCGCTAGTTTTAGTGTTCACTGATATGATTCTGGTCAGCATCAGCTATTACTATGACTGTTGACAAATGGTGATTTTTCTAATCACCATTCCTTCTACATTTATTATTTGACTTTCTGTAGGAAGTGCTATCTCTTCCCTCTTCTCTATCTGTTTATTCACTCTAGACTCCTGGCTTCTTGTTTTATTTAGTAAGCCTGAATCCTTTCTATCGTTTTATTTTGATGCTCAAATTGTTCCATATTTGTGTAGTGGGAGTTTATTCAAAGTGGTTTTTGTGGGCTTCTAGCATGTTCTTATCCTTTAAGGACTTTCTTATTTTTTAGCATAAGATATTCAAGGCTCATTTTGTTTTCTTGTTCCTTCTCTGTCCCACCTCTGGAATAAGCCATTTTTTTGAGGAGCACTTTTTTTCTTTTCTTTTCTTTTTTTGTTTGTTTTTTAGTGGAGATTGATATTACAGACCGGGATTTGGGTACTGAGTGTGCTCCTTGCTAGTGAATCATCTTTGCTTCTCAGCCTGGCCAGATAACAGAGCTGAGGAATTAAAAAAATTTTTTAAAAATATATTTTTATTTATTTATATTACATATATGTACATATAAACATACACACTTGCACACACTTAGACACACCTATACACATTTATATTCACTTTTATATATGTATATTTAGCTATCAATATATATTAAAACTCATGCATTCACACTATCTTCTTGAATTTCAGTTGAAACGCCTGTAATTCCAGTACAACATTTTATCTTTTTCTATATTTCATACAAAACCTGGCTCCAATTTCCACAACAATATTTCACTTTCTTCCTCAGTATTAGCATGTACAAAGCATTTTAGAATTGGTAATCCTTGCCTCCATGCAAAACAACAGTTTTAGATTTGTTTAGATTGTTTTGTTGTTTTTAACCTGAGGGTGTGTAGTCCAAATACTGTGATCAGAAGTTCCTTGGGTTAGTTCTTTTCTCCCTCCCCCTTCTGTCAGTTATTTTATTTACTTAAGATAAAAACATTACTTACTTGCTTCTGTTTGTATTCAGTTGGGAAATTTTTCTGTCCTTGTGGATTTTACTTATTTGTTTTTTGAGTTTTGAAACATTGGCATGTTTCTGAAATTCAAATCTGTACAAAAAATCGTTTTCAGGAGTGTGATGTCCTTTCCTTCATCCACTTTGTTCTTTCCTCCCTGTTTTCTCCCTTGTTCTGCAGATAAACAATCTCGTAAGTCTCTAGGTTGTTCTTTTGCTCAGATGAGTACATAAATATATAGTTTCTTATTTCCCCTTCTTTCTTGCCCAACAGATATAATACTATATTCTATTGTACTTTGCTAATCATAGAATTTTAAAGCTGAATCAGACCTTACAGTTATATATATGTGTGTATATTTAAAGATGTTACAGTAACTGGAGAACTATTTTTTGAAATTTATTTATTGATATTAGAGAGAGGAAAAGAGAGAGAGAGAGAGAGAGGAATATTGATTTGTTGTTCCACTTATCGATGCATACATTGGTTGATTCTTGCATGTGCCCTGACCCGGGGGCGGGTATTGAACCAGCAACCTTGGCATACAGGGATGATGCTCTAACCAACTGACCAGCCTGGCCAGGACCTTAAGGTTATATTTCTAAGGGTTTTTTTCCTTCATTTTTTTTCTTTTTAGACATTAGATCATCAACAGCTCTTCACAGAGGAAGAACTGAAAGAATATGAAAGTCTAATCTCCATACAAGAAAACGAACTTAAGAAAAAAGCAGATGAGCTTCAGAAACAAAAAGAAGAGCTACAGCGTCAGCATGACCAACTGCAGGCTCAGAAGCAGGAATATCATCAGGTTGTATTTTTTAAGAGGATTGTGTCATTAAAAAGGATTTTAGGTGCTTTCCTAAAAGCCTGTGTTGTAACATTTCAGTGTAGTATTACCTGTAGTATTTTAAATTCTGGTATTTTAAAAATTGCTTTGTTGAATATTAATCTAAATTTCAGAATTTGAATATCACATTTTGGAAAATAATTTTCAGTTAGTTTGTTGTGATTTGTCAAAGGTCACACATGTAAGAGAAAACCAAATGCTTCCTTTTAAAACATTTTTTTTTCCATTCCCCAGGTTGTACAGCAGATGGAACAAAAAAAATTACAAGAAATTTCTCCATCAGGGCCTGGTGGACGCTCTCAGTTCGAGCCACGTATGTAATTTTTTTTGTTCATCTGTTTGTTTAAGGAAATAAAAATACTGAATAAATTGAAATCCACATTTATTATAATTATAATTTCAAATTATTAATATCTATGCTATATTCTACACATTTGTGAAAATAGAGCACCTTGTATTGCAGAAAAATGAAGTTTTTACTAAACTTTTCTAGTACCGAACTATAGAAATGATCCCTGAAAGTATAGTCTTTAAACTTTTCTAAATCTAAATCTAAAGTTTTTACTAAACTTTTCTAAATCTAAATCTAAAGTTTTTATGTATCTGAACATTTCAAAAGCTATGTAATTTGATATCCATATTTATGATGAAGTGACTTATTTCAACATTGTTTATTATTTTTCTTATCAATTATTGATATCAGAGAACATACTTTTTTCCTTTTTATCTATTTATTTACTTTATTTTAGTCTTTTTTTAAACCATAGCCTTCATTCTGACTTTATTAACAGTTTTAGTTTTACAGTACTTGTTAGGGTGAGGTAAGTGTTCCCCAGCCAGACAGAATACCTGTTCCTATAAAACATTCAGGTAAAGAAAATACAAGTTATTTTCATAAGCCTATTTAAACATTCCATTGTTCATAATCCCATCAATCTTTTTGCTGGGCAAACAGGCTTTGTGTTCTCTCAGTCTAATTGTAGCCCACACCAGGGCTTCACCCGTGGGGCTTCCATGTCAAAGTCCAGAAACTTCTGTTCTCCACCTCCTGACCATTTCACCCACTCTGGTGCAAAGGCTTTGGATCCTCAGTGAGGGGTCAAGTCAAGGGACCCTGGTCCTTTTGTTAGCTTTCATCTTGATTCACCTCCCTAACCATTGCTCAACACAACTTCAGGTCAGATGTCTCATTTTCGTCTTTGACTGTTGGCTGTCAAAATGTCTCTAAACCAGGATAAATTAAGCAGACTCGTTTGGGGCTCTTTAATCCTGAGGTGTTAGAAGCATATTCCTTCGGCCTGCACCATCTTGAGTAGTCCTATATTAAGACCTAGCTGGGGCCTTGAACCAACTCTTTATTACTGACCCATCAAGTTAAGTAGCTGAAGTTAAGTTCTGCTGTGGTAACCCAATGTGGGTACATGGTCTTTTCAAATGTATCTTTCAGTTTTCTAAGCTGTTGCATTCTAAGGGGTTGTGTGGTATTGGCAAGCAGACCGTGGCTTTTCTGATTGTTTATGTGAGAGATGTATGTATGTAGGAGGCCCTTTTTCTTCATACAAATACATGCTCAAAAAAGCCAGCTTGCTGTCTAATCACCCAAAATATGAAGACAAGAGTCCAAGTACCAGATTTCGCTTAGTTTTTCAGCATCTGCCATAATATCTTTTTGAAGTAGGATGATCTGTGTGTGTTTCTGAGTTCCTAAATTTGGTTTGTGATGAATATGATTTTTTAACTCATAATCTGTGATTAACTAAGTGTATTTAAAAAAACAAATAATATATATAAAAGAAGATTCAGTATAAAGGAAGATACCTTTAAAATGAGAGTATATATGTTTTTTTGAACAGTCATTTAACGTCCGATGCCCGCCAGAACTTGGAAGAAAATGTAAAATCAACACCTGTGTCATCTTTTTACCTCCCTTCCTTTTTCTCTACTCAATAAATATTTTAAAGCATATATGGAATAAAGGAAGATATGTTTAAATGAGAACACATGTGGTTTTTTGTTTTTTTTGTTTTTGACACAGATACTTAAAGATTGAAGTCCATCAGAACCAGGAAGAAAACCTCAATATCTGCTCTCACTTTTGTACCTCCCCCTTTTTTCCTTTGTTCTCCTTTAGTGATTTAATTAAATGGCCTCATGCCATAATTTAATGAAACTGTCAGTAACTTTTTAAGTGAGAAAGCTCTGTCTGTTGCTTTGAAAATAGATTGCTCTCATTCATGAAAGTAGGTATTCTTTATCAGCGTTTATCATCCCTCCTCTTACTAAAAGTTTCTTTGATGTTTATAATTCTTCTCCTGAGAAGGCCATCACATTCCCCAGTGTTCCTTCATAATTTTTCCTCCTTTCAGTTCTCTTAACTGCTAGAAATTTTTCTACTGAATAGCTTTTGCTACCACTTCAGATGATTTTTCATTCATACTTTTGCTTTATTATTATGTACTCTACTATCAAAGATCTGGCTGGTAGGGAAGCTGAGAAATCACTGAGGCAATGTGACCAGCTAAAAGTTAGCATTCTTTGACTGAGAAAGATGGGAAGAGGGAATGTTTGGAAGGCAACTTTTAATTTTAACCTAGACAACCTTGTTGGCTACCTAAATGTCTATGTATACTCTCCTGAAACAGAAAACACTTCTCCCACCTCAAAAGGAAACCATCGAAATCCAGCCCATTATTACATATAACTCAAAGACTATGATACTTCTGGGTATCTGTGGCCGTCTACAAACTAAAACATAAGGTGCCTGTCCCATGAGTACCATATTCAGAATGGCGGGATAGGTACAGGATGACTGCAATAAAATCAGCCTTTTTGAAAAGGGGAAAGTGGCAAACATGTAATCGCTGATCCATAACAAGGTCTCTGCTCTGTTCGTAAATATATTCCCTATTTTTCCCATCAGGCAACTCCTGATTCACCTTTCTGGGAGGAACTCCCTTGTCTGATGTCCTCACGGGCCCTTGGCATTGAGCTCTAGGAAGTTTTTCATTGCCCATTAATTTTTAATTAGACACATCTGAGTGGGCATTGGAAAGGGTGCCTCTCTTGAAGGCCCGACAGTCTTAGCACTTCACTTCCTGTTATTTTGGGTTTGGGGGTTTGGGGATTGCGTTAGATAGTTACAGGCTGTTTGAGGCCAGGTTTAAGGTTTTTACTTTGATTTTTGACAAGACATTTCCCTAAAAACTTCCCAGGTTTTGGGCCTGTTTTTTCAATTATTACTGTGAGTAACCACCAAGATCTTGTCAAGGCATAGTTTCTGAAAAAGAAACCATGTTTATTTGCTGGCTTCTATGTTCTCTCTCTTCCCTGGGATCTTAAATGAATGGCCCCTACTTGAGACCATTTACACTAAAGGCTTGAATGAGATGACAACAGGCTTTATCTGATCTTTTTCCTTAGGATGGCTCCCATTACTTGGTGGAAAATTCTTAAGGGAGGGTCTTGAAAACGGTCAAGGAAGTTTTAGGTGCTTCCTCAGAAACTTTACTTATGGAATGTGGTAGTAGTTGACTTGATCAACTCTTCAGGGCTCCAGATTTGAGAGTTTGTGCATTTGTCTTGTAGACAGACAACAAATCCCTTAGCAAAGCTATATACCTTTCCATCTCTGCAGACTTATTAACCTTGACCTGAGTTGCATCTGTCCTGCAGGACTTTGCTGAAAGAGGCAGAGGCAGCTCCCACATGCTAGCGTTCTACTGCCACTTTCTTTGACACCTTAACTTAGGTTGGCATGAGGTTTCATGGCCCAAAGCCCAACCTCCTCAACTCTGCCCACATCATACTTAAGATCCTTTTACTTGCTGTACCTTCCTTTCAAACTACCAAATTCTGTAGGTGGGTCAAGATTCTTGGTTGTGGGTAATGGAAACTTCTTTAGTTCTTAAACCGAATGGGATTGATTAAGGGGTATAAATGGCTCACAGTGTGTTTGAGAGGGCTGAAGAAACGGAACCTAGGCTGAGCTTCTAGGAATTACACCGCAAGAGAGGGCTGCCAAAGAAGCTGCTGCTTTTGGAATGATCAAGAAGCTGCCTGCCACCTTGGCAAGCTGCCTGCTGGATTAGGAAGATGTGAACAGCTGCCGGCTCCAGAACCACACCATCACTGCCCTGGTTGGTGTGGGTGAAAGTGGGTACCCTGTGTAACTCTGTTCCATGTGAAAGTCTCAAGTGAGTGCATCTGATTGTTGGACCAGTCATACCTGGAACCTTAGCTGCAAGGGAAGTTGGGAAATAATAGTGTTCAATTTCCCTACCTCTATAGTACAGGAATGCATGTTTAAAGTTTTGAAGTGAACCAATCCACTGTAACACCTCATAATCTTACATTGTTTCTCTTAACATTAATAATTTTTAAACTCTTAGTCCTCATTTCACAAATTTTTTGATAATTATTGCATATTCCACCAAACATACTTCAGATTTTTTTCTTAAATCATGGATCCCAAAATTAAATATAGCAATCTAGAAAAATTCTCCTTATATTCAGCTTAAACAAAAAACAACCCACAAAAGTCACTCAACTGAGTAATGCTGCGTTGTTTTTTTTTAAAATAGAAAAGAATTCCTATCTTTATTGTTTAAATTGCAGGAAACATTAAAAAATGGTCTGGAATATCCTTTTATTGACTGCCGTATCTCCTGGGGGACACTCTTTCAGATGCTAGACTGTGGTTAAATTGGAAAGTAATTGGAGAAGAACCTACAGAAATTTCTTAAAATGCTCTTTTGGCAGGAATAAATAATGGGTAGACATTAATGTAGACATATCTCACAGTGTCCAACAAATTACTATATTATTTTAAAAAGAATTGTTGGCTTAAAATTATTGATGGACTTAAGGAATTGCAGTTCTGTGAGTGCTGGGCATTTGTGAGTAACTATTAGTTCTTAGAAAATGACTGATAGTACTCTCTCCAGCCCTGTTAGAAAGTACTGGTCCTGTGTTTAATTTATACCATTCTCCTTCATACCTTGGTAGATATTAGTCTTTGGTTTAGCTGACTTAGTTGTATGTATTAGTAATTTGGGCTTTGTTTCACGTATAAATTTTCATGAAGCATGTAAATTTATAGTCTACTTAGGTCTATTAATTAAAATTTCATTATAAAAGATGATGGTCCACGATAATATTTAATTCTCACTAAAGAGAACTGCAAGTTAGAGATAGCAGTAAAAATCCTTTGAGACGTGTCTATACACTTATTTTAACCAAGATTTGTTCACAGCAGCATAATTTTTACGCTAATTGAATAGATTTGTAATACTACCATCCTAGATCAAACTCTGGTCTTCACGTGGGGGCAATCTAAAGGAAATTCTCACATTTTGTGATAATGTGATTTTTTTAAGATAGCCAACCGAATAAAAGAGGAGGTGAGAAAAGTATTTTCTTTAGAATGACCTTTGGACAAATCCAGTTCTGGTTGGTGTCTACAATTTAATCTTTGTTTTATAACTGCAGTACAATCAAGAAGAAATTGAAAAAGAGCCAGAGTTAGATGATGAGCTTCCTCGTTTTCATGTAAGATGTTACCCCCTGAAGGACCTGCTAGAGAAGTCCCCCGTCACCCTGTGCCTCTGACCCCCGTAACCACTGGCCGCCCTTTGTTTTTGCTGGAATTGAGACATTAAGGTATATTCCCTAAAATGCAAAGTTTATTCTTTTAGTTTCTTATGGGTGAGAAAAGGAAAGACTGTAATGACAACTTGCTTTCAAGGTGTGAGACTTGAAGGGACTAGGATCTTTTCTGGCCCTTTTTTTTTTTTTAAACACAGTATCATTAGCAGGACTCCATTCTTTCCTACCCATGTTATGATTTATTTTTTAAGTGAGTAGTTGGCTATGAATTAGTAACCATTTCTTAGAGAATCCTAGAACTGAGCTGGATTAAGCAGCCACAGCAAGTGGTGAAGATACCAAGTTGAAAAACTAGGGTTTATGGTTACCAGCATGCCAAGCTGTTTATTCAGACAAAAGCAAAGCAAAATAAAACCAGCGAAACCTTTGATTTAATTTAGGAATTTAGATTTGTTTTTTTCAAATATGATCTGTAGAATTAGGTAGAAAAACAACTACATTTTTACTGATGTCTACAGTTTTCACTGCAGAGTTTTTAGTATTCATTTTAATTGATGCCAGTCATGCTTTGGATGATGATGTCATGTACCTGCTTGGTTGTTGCCAGCCCTTGACTGCACTTACCTTACACGCTCACCCTTCTAGTTGCCTTCAAAGCTCTGCATGTTTGTAAGCAAGTTTTCTTTTGTTTATAATTTGTATGCAATCTATTGCGAACAGTAGCTTTGACGTCACCTGTGCAAATTTTCTTACCTCCTTTTGTTTTATCCTTAGTATTAAGTATATTTCCCAAGACTTTCTAGGATTATGAATATATATCTTGTAATTAAAATGTTAGGATGTTTTATTTTTATAATTCTTATAATTTTGCTACTCCAAGGAGTTTTAAAATGAGTAATGGTTTATTTTCCCCATGATTTTAAGGTTGTGATTTTCTGAGTGCTCTAAAATTGAGAAAAAGTGAAACTTCATGTAGTTCTCTTTGCCATACCCCTGTGAATCATTGTGTTAAAATGTTATTCATTTATTTATTTTTTTAAACATCATTTATTTATATTTAGAGAGAGGAGAAGGGAAGGAGAAAGGGAGGAAGAGAAACATCAATGTGTGGTTGCCTCTCGTGCGCCCCCTACTGGGGACCTGGCCCACAACCTAGGCATGTGCCCTGACTGGGAATGGAACCAGGGACCCTTTGGTTTGAAAGCTGGTACTCAACTCACTGAGTCACACCAGCCAGGACCAATTTTAGCCCATTTAAATGTTCACTTTTAGTGATGAGAGTATGTGTCACTTCATTAAATCCCTACCCTTACTTTAGATTACCTGGGTGTGGCGTATGAAATGCATGTGCAGCCCAGGCTG